TGCCTAATGGAGCATACGTCTACACACTAGGGATGTAAGATAACATATACGTTTCACGAGCACGACAGAATCAAAAACCGGTGATTATACAAATCAAAAGCCACACGTTTTTATCGAATCAGAGAATCAGGATTAGTAATCTAGATGCTAGCTAGATGCTATTACTTTGGTTATAGCTCTAGATTTAGTCCGTGGAAGGTTGTTTCTTATGAAAGGAATAGGTATTACTTGGAATCCAAAATATCGTTTGCTTTACTATAAGATATAGGACTGTTTGATTAAGCGACCTTTATCTTTTAACTAGTAAGTACTAATACCTGAGGTACCTAAACACCAATATTATGTAATATTTTCTCCGCAGCATACGCTACAACAAGCCGCTCGAATCAACATTATAGATTTATAAATATTTTTTCACACAACATACGTCGTCATAATGACGTAACCACGTTATATCGAATCGAGAAGAAATACGAACATCGCACATCCCTACGTACACTTAAGCGCAATGAAATAGGTATTAGGAAGCCATTAGGCGCCCATGCAAGCTTCATGCAACTCCATCACGGCACGATTAACGCTTTCATGAAACTAACGTGCATGAAATTAATTAAATTCTTGTTTTCCGATGACATGCCTTCAATTCGATTTATAGTATGTATTCTTTTGTTTCAAAATTTATAATATGCAAATATGTAGGTATTAACTTTGTATTATACTCGTAGATTAGTCTTATCTCGTGGAACCTAAGTGGTCGCATGAGACCGCGGTAACAACTGATTGTATAGTCTCGATTCGCTGGTACTTAAAGGATTGTTCAATATAGAGGGATGGACATCTTAAAACGTCAGTTTGAAGAGATAAGTCTGAAATCCGAGCGTCAAACTGGTAAAATAAGGATTTGCATAAAGGTTCGGANTCAGGCTATACATAAAAATAAATTCTGATATTGATACTTTATTCTAAAACCATATAGTTGAACGATGGTAGCGCCCCCCTGTCATTGAGTTTGGTGGGACAGTTCAGCGTGGGTCATCTATACATCGATTTTAAAAAACAGAAACGTCACAGTGACAAATTTCGCGATGATCGCTGATCGCTGCGTGCAGACGCTGCATAGATCGCCGCGACCAATGACAGGACGCGTTGATGTGAACACATCGCTACAAATTCATACACGCTGTCTGGTCGCCATCGCCATCGTCATCGTGCACGCCGGCTGCACGCGTTGGTCTGGTCTAACCTTTACTTAATACAAGAGTACACTGACGGACAAGAAAACAAGTATTTGTGTATGTTTTGACAGCAGACTATAGGTATTAGGTATACATATCATTCACTCACTAGAAGTACCTAGTTGTGGGACTATTCATACGTCTGTAACTTCTGTGTAAACGATCTAAAGCTTGACCGTCAATAAAACCCAAGGTTAAACGGAATTAATGCAAAGACTTGGACACCTTCCGAATGTTATTGTTTATGTCTTATGTCAATCAAAATAGATTGCATTTATCTGTGGTTCGTAGCTCTACCACAATCATAATCTGCCTGTAAATTATGAAAGTGTATTCTAATTATTCTTGCTGGGGAAAATGCCACTAATTAAAGTTGCTATGATAACGTTTCATCTGGAATCGAATTTAGAAGTTGTTTGCGAGTAATCTCGTCTTTACTAATTTCACGCCCGAACTCGAACATAATTGTCATCAGAGAATAGTTAATGATGTGCTATCGTCACTGTTTATCGATGAAAACTATAAATTACGTAGATTATAAAAAAAGTGAACATATTCACATTGGCTTACTTTGATTTAGACCTCGTCGGGTTCCTGGTGTAACGAGAACGATATTACCTACGATAGTTATTAAAATTTGCTGTTAAGAGTTGCCTCTCGATCTAAATATTTTTTGTCGTGGTATCGATTCCCACGTTAGGCAGTTCGATTTGTTCAAGTCATTTTAAAAAAAATATTACCTTCTCCTTTTTTGCGTTTGATTTAGTAGAAATGTTACATAGCTTTGCTTTAAAAATATGCAGCTTTAATAGCTCATGACACTTGAACAATCAGTTTATAATAATTCGTCAGCCGTTTGGTGTAGTGGTTCGAAACGGACTACTATTCCGGAGGTTGCGGGTTCGATTCCCGCACAGTACAAATATTTGTGTGCATGAATATATTGGTTTGTATTGGACTGGGTGTTTTCTATGTATAATATGTATGTATTTATTAAAAAAAAAGTATTTAAAAAGTATGTTTATCCGTTGTCTAGTACCCAAAGTACAAGCTTTGCTTAGTTTGGGACTAGAAGCGCAGTGTAAAATGTCCAAGGATATTTATTATTTATTTATTATTTATAATGTGGATTGCCACATACTTAAGATATCGAACACCTGTAAACCCACAACACTAAAGCATAAAGACAGCTAATTTGTACTCAATTAAAACTTTATCTCCACTCGTGGCCTGGAGTGTAAGCTCGCGTGCACTCTCACAGAAAATCGTCCTCTTACTCCCTTAGGCCCAGACTCAGACAGTGCGGAGATGGCCGAAGCGGAGACGAGAAGAGACAAGCTGAGCTGTATGTGCTGGCTAGAGAATGTGTGCGATGAGCATTAAATGTGATCGCATAGTTTAACGCGATCGGACACTGGTCACTTTTTAGCTTTTGTAAGTTTGCGGGCACAGCTGACATCTTTGGTTTTTTCGCTTCGCTTTGTATCCGCCGCCCGGCCTAATTTTAGCAAGGCACAGGACACATCACCGCTTGCATGCAAATATGACACATTCCAGTATCCACTTACTAAAGCTGAGTGGCGACAATAAGTGTCATCATCATCATCATTTCAGCTATAGGACGTCCACTGCTGAACATAGGCCTCCCCCAATGATTTCCTTAAAGACCGGTTGGTAGCGGCCTGCATCCAGCGCCTTCTGCTACCTTTATGAGGTCGTCGGTCCACCTTGTGGGTGGACGTCATACGCTGCGCTTGCCGGTACAGGGCCTCCACTCCAGAACCTTGCTGCCCGATCGGCCGTCCGTTTTGGGTAACTTCGAAGTTCTGCGACAATAAGTGTGGATAACATAATATAAAATACGAAATTATATTGGTTATTTAATGTGAGTCGCTCCGCTAGTCTCGTTTCCGCTTTGGTGGAGGCCAGGCTTTAACAGAGCAACTGAAGCCAATGGTCCAGAAAACAACGGTACTTAGGCGAATTAAATTCAGCTCAGGGTCGATTAATCACCGGAACCATCCGACCCACAATGCCTTATAAGGATTTATGGCGCCGATACCGGATTGCTTATTTATGCGCACTTTAGAGATAGGACGCTAGCATAAATAAAACTTTAACTTTTTTACCTAGCGTCTATATTTCTTCAGTTATGTTAATAATATAGTTACAATCAAACTGCCGAGAACGGCGCGCGCGCGTGTTCCTACGTTTATTGTGGATGATTGACATAGTAATTTATAAGTTGACAGCCTTGAATCGCTATTTTTATAGCTCATTGCCCACAAAAGAAACAATAGAACGTTATAAAAATACAGTTTCTCATTTACGTCCGTATTTATAAACATTACTATGAGGTCTCACAGTGCGCGTGGACGCACAGAGCTCTATTCAACGCTGCGAGTTCGATTTTCTGCTTCACTTAATCATCAAGCATAGATTGTGTGTATCATTGCTAGAAATACCAACATGTGCGAGTGTCACTTAAAGACCAATTACTAGATCTACAATATTAACTAAAACATCGCACACAGTTTGTGAAAATTCACTAAAATATTCTCATAAATTAAAATTTCTTAAATAAATCAAAGTTAGGTAACCAAATTAACCCGCGTTTTCTTTGCAAACTAATTACAGGGGAGATTCCCTTTTGATTTTCCCACCGCGTAGTTAGACCCAATTGGGATTGTCTCTGGTCGGGGCTGCACCGGAAGTACCGGCATTAGAGGCTTAGTTCCTGTAAGCTTGGAGGCTCGTGTTTATAAACGGATCCGGATTTGGAACGTAAAGGAATTACTCAGTGTATAATCATGTTGGAACCTTATTCATTTGCCTGTGAAATTACACGGTCTAACTTTGACTATGTCTAAACATTTATTTGTATAGAACTATAAAAGTCTAAATTATTGTGTAAACTATGGTTTACCAAACCAAGTGGTCCATTAAGTTTAAAACAAATGAAAGTAGTTTTTCATAAATGACATAAAGTACTTATAATGTTTCTGCGAAAGGACCACATGTTTTTTGTTACTTACGTTATGAAAGTTTGGCTAGATCTAAAACTATTATTTAATTTGTTATTGAATTTTTGTTTTGCTCACATTGCATTATTGTTTTATTAATACAACAACTTTACCAAGTACGGGTAAAGTTGTTTGTATTTATAAAATACAATACCGTTTTGAGGTACCTAATATTCCAAAATATTATCTTGAAAAGCAAGATCGGTTTAAAAATAAAACTTGTCTTGCCAACCGTGAAAAATTTATCTAACCCTTGAACAGTGGGCTTCTACCTTTTTGTAGGCGCTGCCCGAATTTTAATTAGTTTTTGTTTTTTGGGCAAGAACCCCTTTTAATAAACTTTAGGCATTTATAACATGAACAAGCTTATTAACATTCCTTGTTTTAAAAGTAACCATTTTTTGTTTCGGTGGGTAGAGGAACACGTAAAATCATACCTACCTGACAGTACTTAGTGTGTGAGTGTACGTCTACCTACGTTTTGGTCACTTTATGAAAATTTTGGAAAGATGTGTTTATGTAAATAGGTCAAACAAATAATTTGTGTTTTTCATGACATACCTTATTAGATAGATTGTGGCACAACGGTGCCGAAACCTTATAAATTGGTTTTTCGGTTTGTGAGCATTGTTTTGCAGGCATTCTTGGATTCAATTCCCAGTTAGTAACTGTATGTGGATGACGTACCGTCTTTTTGTTGATGATTACATTTTTAGACTATTACTTATTTATTCTATTGCAGATCACGCCCTTATCCCCAAAATGGAAGCACGCCATAGAGAAGCGGATCGAAGACGAACGCCAGCTGACTATGCTGGCGATGGCGCGCGGAGCCAAACTGCACCCCGGCCAGTTCTGGGACCTCAGCGGGACGTTCCTGTTCAGTGTCTACGTTATGACTGCTCTGGGTAAGCATCCTGACTCTTCTCTTTATTCTATTAAGATTGCATTTTGTTTACCTGCACCCCAGCCAGTTCTGGGATCTTAGAGGGATCTTACTGTTCAGTGTCTACGTCATGAACGCCTTGGGTATGCTTCTTTGAGTCTTCTTCTTGTCTTCTTGTGACGAGAGGAAGAAACTATATTTTGCATAAAGCCAGCTGACGATGCTGAAGCTGACGATCTATGCTTGCGATGGCGGAGCCAAGCTGCACCCCGGCCAGTTCTGAGACCGTAGAGGGATCTTACTGTTCAGTGTCTACGTTATGACTGCTCAGGGTACGATCTTGAGTTTTGTCCTTATGCTATTAAGAGTGTATTTTGCATAAAACCATGGTATTATGCTGACGATGGCTCGTGGAGCCAAGCTGAACCCCGGCCAGTTCTTGGACCTCAGCGGGACGTTCCTGTTCAGTGTTTACGTCATGACTGCTTTAGGTACGATTTTCAGTCTTTTGCTTCTACTGTTGAGACTGTATTTTGCATAAAACCCCTAGTAGTGCCAGCTGACGATGCTGGCGATGGCGCGCGGAGCCAAACTGCACCCCGGCCAGTTCTGGGATCTCAGCGGAACCTTCCTGTTCAGTGTCTACGTCATGACTGCTTTAGGTGGGTAGTTTGAGTCTTCTCCTTATGCTATTAAGAGTGTATTTTGCATAAAGCCAACTGACGATGCTGGGGCTGGTTCGCAGAGCCAAGCTACTCGTCGTTAGGGAGCGGGACATCCCAGTTCAGTGTCTACGATGACTGCTCTGGGTACGATCTTGATTCTTCTTCTATTGCTACTATGCATATTGAGTCTGAAGAAACTGAAGGCAAAGGATAACTTACCTCTATTATCTACGCAAATAAATAACATGAATATGTTTGTTCCAGGTTTCGGAGCTCCAGTACCGCAAACAACGTGGGGTAGAACTTCAGCTTTAATTTACGCAGTACTAGCTGTTCCTATACACATTTACCTTAGTAAGTTAATCAACTACTTCCTATCTTAATTTAGTGACATTTGCGAATTTTAATAGCGAAGTAAGTCCATGTTTTCTTTACAGTGGTCAACGCAAGCACATGCGTGGTAGCAAAGGTTGGCTCGTGGGTTGAAAAACTAAGAACTCGACTTGAAAAAAGAAGACATAGTGCAGATAATGGAACAACTGCAGGCTTTAATAGAGGTAATTATTATTTTAGCTTTATAAAGGAAAGTTCTCGAGTGGCGACCACGGGCTGGAAGACGTAGCGTGGGCAGGCCTCCTACTAGGTGGACCGACGATCTGGTAAAGGTCGCGGGAAGAGCCTGGATGCGGGCAGCGCAGGACCGTTCATTGTGGAAAACCTTGGGGGAGGCCTTTGTCCAGCAGTGGACGTCATTTGGCTGAAAAAAGAAAAAGAAAGAAAAAGGTGGCCCGCATCGCGACAGAAACAGGAGACCGAGACGGGAGACCGCGAACGTTTCTCGCCTTAGTCAAGTACGGTCACGGTCTCCCGTCTCGGTCTCGTGTCTCGGTCTCCTGTCTATGTCGCGGTGCGAACCGCCACCTTAAGACCTTAGGAAAAGCTTTCTGAGAGTTATTTACTCTTACTTACCTAATTTAGCTCATCATTAGTTTCCCAAATCTGAAGGTTATCAATATTTTTTGTAATTTTCTTTAGACAAGTAGGTAGGTATCTACAATTCCTTACAGACTACTTAGTTACATTTAATTGGCCTCTCAAATCTAAAGGTAATCATCATATATTTTTAGACTTATTACGATATACAAGTACCTATTACCTACCTACTTACGAATTTGCTTATGGAAATACAAACTACTTAAAATAAGAACGCTAAAAGGTCAACAATAACTAAAGGTTCATAAATTATGCAAACTCTAAGAAGTTGTAGGAAGTTTTTTCACTATTCAAACCTTTCTTCCATTCTATTATATTTTGGCATACCAATAGCGTTTTCCGATACTCAAATAAAAGAACCATAAGAATCGGAAAGCAGTAAAGAAGTGGAGCTAGCCAAACGCTTGGGGTTGCCAACTCCAAGTTTCAGCACACCACGACGAATTTATGAATTCGACTGTTTGTGAAAAGGTTGTATAAATTGTCAATAACCAAAGTCATAAAGAAAATAGATAGACTGTAGGAAATCTTTGATGAAATTAGTTGGAGGTGCTTATCAGATTTCTTTACCTACACCATGTCTTGAATCAAGCAACTAATATTTATACGTTCGGGAGGAGATCAGGACAAACCAATGAAATCTCTTAATATACAGGGTGTCCCAAAAACAATGGATAACCCTGTAACCATCGATAGGCCTCGCCATGGTCTCCCTAACGTATAATTTTGACCCCAGTAAAAATATCACCGTTTTCAAGATTTTTAAGTTTTTGTGCAAATTTAGAAAATTGCCACCTGCGATTACTTTTTCTCATGCCATTTCTACAAATGAGGATACTTTTCAATCTAGTTTTTTTCCTTATCACAAGGGATAGTTGGGCTATCAAAAGAAAAGATTAAAGTTCAACAAACTAGTTTAAAAGTATGAAAATTTTAAGAAATTGCAGAGAAGAAGGAAAATTTCATTCATTGTCTTGCACTTTTGATCAGCCATCGTGTAAAAAAAATGTAGGAAGACCATCGTGCCCATTACCTTAAAAACTTCCTTGGTTAATTGAGATTCTAAAAAGGTATCACAAGCCAATGTATCCTGTATCATTTTTATCTTATGGCTACTTAAATAGCAACTAGTATGAAAACTGCAAAAATGAGATTTTCTCGTAATAGTTAAACTAGGACTGCATAGTGGCATTAAATACAAATGGATAATTTTTAGCGTAGGAATTTTAATAAAGCAACGTTTTATCATCATCATCATCATCATTTCAGCCATAGGACGTCCACTGCTGAACATAGGCCTGTACCCCAATGCTTTTCATAATGACCGCTTGGTAGCGGCCTGCATCCAGCACCTCCCTGCTTACCTTTATGAGGTCGTCGGTCCACTTTGTAGGTGGACGTCCTACGATGCGCTTTCCGGTACGTAGCCTCCACTTGAACCCTGTTGCCCCATTGGCCGTCCGTTCTGCGTTTTTGTGATTACTTATTTTTTGTTTTAAACCTTATAAATGTGCCTATAGACAGATACCCGTGATAATACACGGCTCGGAAACGTGGATTTTTTGGACAGCGTGCTATGGAGGGGCTATGCTCGGGTTTCTTGACGAAATCATATCAGAAATTAGGAGATCCGTAAATGAACTTAAGTCGCTGACATAGCTCGACGGATCAGCAAGCTGAAGTGGCAATGGGCAGGGCACAAGTTTGCAAAACTGAGGCAGCATGGTTAAAGTGGAGGCTACATACCGGAAAGCGCATCGTAGGACGTCCACCTACAAAGTGGACCGACGACCTCATAAAGGTAAGCAGGGAGGTGCTGGATGCAGGCCGCTACCAAGCGGTCATTATGAAAAGCATTGGGGTACAGGCCTATGTTCAGCAGTGGACGTCCTATGGCTGAAATGATGATGATGATGATGATGATAAAACGTTGCTTTATTAAAATTCCTACGCTAAAAATTATCCATTTGTATTTAATGCCACTATGCAGTCCTAGTTTAACTATTACGAGAAAATCTCATTTTTGCAGTTTTCATACTAGTTGCTATTCAAGTAGCCATAAGATAAAAATGATACAGGATACATTGGCTTGTGATACCTTTTTAGAATCTCAATTAACCAAGGAAGTTTTTAAGGTAATGGGCACGATGGTCTTCCTACATTTTTTTTACACGATGGCTGATCAAAAGTGCAAGACAATGAATGAATTTTTCCTTCTTCTTTGCAATTTCTTAAATTTTTCATACTTTTAAACTAGTTTGTTGAACTTTAATCTTTTCTTTTGATAGCCCAACTATCCCTTGTGATAAGGAAAAAAACTAGATTGAAAAGTATCCTCATTTGTAGAAATGGCATGAGAAAAAGTAATCGCAGGTGGCAATTTCCTAAAAATGCACAAAAACTTAAATATCTTGAAAACGGTGATATTTTTACTGGGGTCAAAATTGGACGTTAGGGAGACCATGGCGAGGCCTATCGATGGTTACAGGGTTATCCATTGTTTTTGGGACACCCTGTATATTTGGTAGATAGAGCACATTACATGGCCTTGGATGTGGGTCCAGATATAATGTATTACAGATTTACCACTCAATAGAAGATTAAAAGTATTCTATCATGCTGATAACAATTAACATTACAGTCCTCTGTTTCTTGCTTGTTAAAATAATTTGTAATTTGTAACCACGATAGCCGACCGGTGAAGGGGTCGGAGTGGCCGACTCGAGATCCGAAGAACGCGGGTTCGAATCCCACCTCGACTATTGTGGTGATCCCACTCGTAACACAAGCTTATTTAGCTTAACACGAGGGGCTAATGGGACTATTAGTAATTCGGCAATACAAATTGCTAATAATATTCAAAGAAAAATATCTAGGTAACTAGGAGTCGACAGCCCTACGCCTAGGAATAGGTACAAACAATGCACAGAACACACCGCAAGCTAATTTTATCTTAGCTTAGGTCACGTAGCTGCTGTGATCTTTATATGGAAGCTAAAAGAGCTGAATATGAGCTAATTAAACAATGTCTATATCTACTTGCCAACAGTAAACAGATGGACCTAATTTGAAAATTATAAATAACCTGAAAAAATCAAACTACCTAAGGCGGGAATTGAACTCACAACCTTCCGCTTGCCGGGCGAATGCTCTTCCAACGGAGCTACTTAGACACTGGATGAACCCGTCGAAATTTTCAAGTATAATACGCTGTTACGGCCAGCGCTTGTTTCATCAATGTTGGGTATACCTACCCTTAAAGATGGACCTAGCCAAGATAAGTGAGCTTTGTCGCATTCTTGCCTGTATATTATACTAACTTACTAATATTTTTTATCCCACTACCTACCTACTCAGTAACATGATAAATAGGTGAGCGATTTTGAGATTCAATTTACGAGGTGTTTTCAACGACAATCCGAAAATGAGTTTTACTCGTAGTTTGCCATCACAATTACGTATGGTAGTTTAAAGTGTAACTAGTAATCTTGTTAACCCCTAAGCTAGATAAATGTTCATGTAGGTAATGGTTTTACCAAAATAATCTACTTAGCCGTCGAAGAGGATCAAACTACCGACCCTCGATGCCTACGCCGCTATTGTCACTACATTTTAGCTAAGATAGGTTAACCAAGCTTATATTTTAAGCTTACGTGCACCCACTTGTTATGTAAGTGGGCCCGTATTTACAAACATTACTATTACTATGTCTTACAGTGCGCGTGGCCGCACAGGGTGACATTACCAATCGCAGAGCTCTATTCAACGCTGTGCATTCGATTTGCTGCATCACTAGCAAGCTTAAGTGAAGCAGGCTGGTTGGTGGTAGGGCTTGTTCTAAGTACGCCTGGCTAGCTACCACCATCTTACCTAAGTCTGTCGCCATAACAACAATGTTAACAGCATTGTTGTGTTCCGGCAGTTAGAGGTAAGATAGCCAGTTCGTCCGTGGTTGAGGATTCCGGGTGAAGCTCGCTTCCACCTTCGGCCTGATCGTCACTTACCATCAGGTGAGATACAGGCCAAGAGCTTCTTCGTTGTGGATAAAAAAAGCATCATTTGTGAATACGGGCGTTAGTTAACTCATAGTGTGGTTTGACCTTAGCTCGCATTGCAGGAATAGCTGCGGTAAACGTACCATTATTACACGTACTTGTTAGCTCTGGTCGGTTAAGCTGAACTATTGTGGAATTAATTGGAAATGTTTATTGCCCCGACTAGAGCTTTCTTTTGTTCGGTTTCTTCTCTGGTATTTTACGCTAGACTTAAAATAAAAGTGTTTAAAGCACTTTGAATTTGTGTCTTTACTTAGGTAATAAGAAATGTACAATAAAAGTGGTTTAATTCCATCTTAGACATGTGCAATGTGCGTTGTACATTTTATTTAAAATTTGAGTTAGAGACGATGATTTCAAAAGTTATCTACCTACTACAAAACGCTTTTGAATTTGGAATTTCTCCCCTTTAAGACAGGGACGGATTCAGAAACAAGGCTACCCCCAAATCAAGGAAATCATAGAGTCCCATTAAACGCGGACATCGATGATATCAGTCTTAAAAACGCTTCGCCATAGATATGTAAACATTGCAAAAATCTTCATAGCACTAAGTAGCGCTACATTGAATGTTTTGTTTAGTGGGACTTGCATTAAAACTTTTTAATTACATGCTGAATCACAATCAGTATCTATTACCAGGTGACCTATAAAACACGTTTACCTCATAAATTAATGAATTCATTGTCTTCCGAGAGGCACTTATCTAGAGGCTTCCCAAATCCCGTCCGGTCCCCACCGGCATCGATTTAACGGCGTTAGCAAATTAAGCGCGATTATAACACCAAAAGCGATTGTAACAGGCGCCCGAGCACGCTTGTTCAGCGTGTTTACAGACTGGGAAATTGCTGAGCAAGCTCACTTTGTTGGTGTACGAAAAACCCATTATAATAATTAATAACGTATAAGTTATGTCCTTTCCTGTTTCATCAGATTAGTGACACTTCATCACTGCTGTTATAAAGTATTAAACAAGCTGAAACACTAACATTTTGTGATATACTTAGCCTTGCCTAGCTAAATTCTAACAAAAAAATACCTATAATTTGTGTTTTTGTTGTAGTTCCACCACATTAGTCCAGCGTTCGACGCAGTTCGTGAAATGATATCAAATTCAGATTGCTTATTCAGTACATAGGCCCTTTCTAGGGCATTTATACGCGTCCCAAATATAGCTTGCCCTACCACCACTTCGGGGCAACATTATGGGCTGGTGCTGAGAAGAAGTGGCGGAAGAAACTCAGTCACCTTTGTCAGCCTCTTTTTCAATAAAATACAGTAATTTATAGCTTACATGACACGCAATAAGTGCTAGCTAGGCAGGTTAAATCCACGCACTCCTGTCATTTAAATATCATTCACTTTATAGTATCCTTTTTTCATCCGATCTTTGGATTATTGTCGTGTAATTTTCTCTTCACTCGATCAAATTCCTCCATTAAGAATCCAAAATACGGTTAAACATGTGAAGGTAATGGGAAGCATTAAAATTTGTCAACGCTGTAAACCATTTTAAGAGCCCTAAAGAGCTTTCACGCTTCACACTCAATGTAATAATAAACAAAGCATTTGTTAATTAAGAGCGATTATTAACACTGCTGTAACGCGCCGAATAGCAGCATTTACGCACAGTTCAGTATTCACAGTGCAATAAAGCGGTAATTATATTACATAATTGGTACCTACCTTACTTGTTAAGTACCTATTCCATTAAATAAGGGCACTTCTAAGATCTCAATTTAATTGACCCATTGCAATGGTTACTAATTATCTACGTATATCCCGAGCAATGATGAAATTACACGACCTCTCTCTCCAATTTTTGCCCCAAAAGTTGACTGGAAGAGAATGTCATATGGGATTATAGTTTTCAGAGACGCTTTCCTACAAAGTGACAAACTTTAGATGAAAGTAAATTATACCTAAGAGAATATTAAAAGCAAATGCGCCACTGGTACGTAATCACTCAAATGACCATCGATCGTTCTCCGCAAATGTATCCGTTAATAACAAGTGTTCGATGGAAACAAAGCAAACACTCATTCACTAATTAAGCATCGCAAACGAGGCCGCCGCAGGCCTACCGCAGGCCTGCGGCGGCCTACGCGGCGTTATTTCGCACCTAGTTAAGTAATCGTAATAGCTAGCCTTCATTTGAAATCGCCAGAGCTAATCTATTTGACTTTACAACAGTCATGTTTTGTATCTTTGTCTAGGGGCCTAGGGGGCATAGTTCTTTAAATTGAAATAAGGGATTTCATCATCTTCACCACCCTACAGGAGTCTATTGTCATAGACCTCCCTTTTGCTTCCTGTCCTTAGCTTACGCATCAAGCTTCTGCAAACTTCGCAAGTAGAAACTCTACATATCTGGAAGGTTACTTTAGTTAGGCTGTTATAGATCTTTTTATCCACGAAGACGCGCCCCACCATTCTTCCACCAAAATGTTTGAGTGTTATCAGTACACGCTAAATCATCCATAAGTGCTCGGATCAAACTCCCCGCACCCCGCGCTTCCCTCGACCAAAAATTGGGGCGCGTCTTCGTGGATGAAACGAACTACATATTACCATTGTAATCTACAAGAAGAAAGGGTTACCTATGAACTGCTGGAAACCTACAATTACCAATCTGCTTTCTCTCTCTGTAAACTACAGCACCTGAAAGTTTACTCTATAATGCGTTGGGCGTCTCTTAATCAGGTAAATTGACGGGCGTTTGTATGCCGTTGTATGATTTCTGTTTACGTTCCACCGTCCATTGAAAATGGAAAACTTAGATTAAGGTTTTCAAAAGTTCTCAAATGGACATTAGACTCTACCATAGATAAAATTAAGGATTTATGCATGACTACATTATGGTTGCAAATAAGGATTTTTGGACCATGGTCCAGCTGTGTGGTCCTGCTTGTCATACAGGCCAATTTTTACGTAGTTATTTGCAATTTCCAAATCAAATCTAGGTCTGTTTTCCCCTTTAAATAGAATGTTTAATCAATACAATGCCCTGTCTAGGTCCATTAATGTTAATGTTGATATTTTTTTCCTTAGTTTACGTAAATACAAGTCCACATGCTTGGACAAATCTCACCGATTTGAACAAGCATAGGGACTTCTTTACACCATATTAAATATTTTCAGTTTTAACCCCTAAGTAATTGCTGTTGCTTTACTCTCTAACGCATGATGTTTTCTTCACCTTTAATTAAGTTTGCATTTAACAAGTGTCATTTTTTATAGTTACCTACTTTTGTGAAGCCTCAATGTAACCTTGTTGGTGTTTAAATAAATAAATTTCATGAAGCCACAGTGTTTAGTTTGATGTACCGTCGTTTATAGTTGTTAGTAGACAATGTAACATTAATTTCTGTTCGCATTCTTGAAAGACGCACGCACACATCAAAGTTTATCCAAATTAGGGATGTAGCGAGAGGATCAGGAAATCGATTTTCGATAAAATGTGCAATGTTAGGATTGTTCCCTGAGGAAAGAAAACATTTTGCCTAAAAAAAGCAAACAACCGCTGGAAGCAGCTTAAAGTAAAAAATGCTCAGCAAAATATCAGGATTTTTATAACGCTGAGTGCTGGTAAAAGCTGTTTCTATTATCTCTGAGCGTAAGTAGAGTGTTAGGTTTGTTTAAGTAATATTATGAAACTAGCTTTTGCAAGTGGATTCGCCCGCGGGATATCTAATAACAAAGTCTCGATGCAGTTTATTTCTCGACTATTTTCTCTTATCCTTAAGAAATTAAGGGCAGTACAACAAATTGTCTTTTATGTCTATTTCACATGATTGAAGTTTTCTTGGTAGCTATTTGTAGCATAGTAAATCTTCTTTCAGGTTCATTAAGTAGGTATTTTTTAATTTAATTAAAAATACTTGCTACTTAAGTAAACAAGTACTTAGCGTTGTTAAACTGTTCTACTTATTTCAGAGAGTCCAAACTGCAGAAGAAACACGGAGTTAATGAAAGTGAAGAAACGCAAAGCTTTTATTCTGCGTCGGAGAATACTGGTTAGTTAATTAAAGGGAAACACCACAGACACTGGATTGTATAGAGCAGTGGTTCCCAAACTTATTTAGTCTACTGCCCACTTTGAGAATAAATTATTTTTAGCGCCCCCCATTTTTGTAGTCAAGAGTCGAGCTCAGTCGATGTCTAAGAGTCCTTCTAGTAGATGACGCCTCCCAAGCCTCTACACAACGTCCCGATTTCTTTTCTGGGTCTTATACCGCCCCCCTTTAAGCCTGCAGCGCCCACAAGGGGGCGTTATCGCCCACTTTCGGAAAGACTGGTATAGAGCATTGGTTCCCAAAGTGGGAGGCGCGCCCCCCAGGAAGGGCGCAAAGACCTTTAAAGGGGGACGCGGGCCATCTGTAAGAAACCTGCGACCGCTGAGAGAATGCATTCCAGACTGCTCGATACGACCAATAAATAATCATGACTGGAGGAGGGGGGCGCGGAATTTTTTGTATGGTCGAAAGGGGGCGCGTCTCAAATAGTTTGGGAACCAATGGTATAGAGCTTGCTTACCTTTTAGTATCATTGAAGTTTACACAAAGACCTAACTTTCTATTTTCTAAAGTAGTCATTTCATAGAGCCCTCAATGTTTTAAGTACTGTGTACCTAGTGTAGTGTCTGCGATGTTGTTACACATTTTTAATTCCCAAGGAGGAATATTAACTTTATGGTTTTATTTAGATTACTGTAGTAGGTATCACGGTGTGCGTAATCCCAGCAAAATGCTGTCTCCTTTCAAAAATCTAATGATGCAAATAAGTAGGGCCCTATCTGGTGTTCCTAAATGTGCCCGAAATTTTAAATTTGAGCCTTCAGCCGTTTCAGCAGTATTAAAAAAAGCGGATTCTACCAACGTTACGTACAGAACGTTATCGCAGCTACACTATTTTTATCTGTCTAGGTGGATGAAAAGTAGGTACATATATCATTACATTAGAGAGCTTATATTCGAGCCTAATTGTATCCTAAAATAAAATTTTCAATGCCAAAAAATGTTTATGACCACTATTTTTTTTTCCAGCGATTTCTCAACGCCCTCTGCATAGGCCGCTGCGTGCCAGCGGCCGCGGTGCTATACTACGTGGGCGGCGCCATTTGCTTCGGAGCGATGCGCGGGCGCACGCCGCTGGAAACCATTATGTTCCCTTTGGAGTTCACTACCACGGGCGGGTTGGAGAATGTAAGCCTAAAAAACCTGTCTAATCAGCGTGGGGAGTGTCGGAAGATAAAGTTAAGCGTCCACATATCGGTATCGTACGCATCGGACGTATCGCACGCAACGGATCGTAGTATTATTTATATGGAAACTCATATAAGTGCGTCCACCTGTCCGCATCGTACGCATCGCACATCCGATACGATGTGTTTCGTACGATGCGTCCGTTGCGTACGATACCGGCAAGTGGACGCTTAGCTTAATCCTCCATTCGCCTCTACAACACGGTCGAGTTAAACTACGCACCTGGCAGCCGTGACGTCACATCGACGCTCTGGTACGGACGGGTGAACGCGGGGAGGTGCGCGGTTAAGGCTAAGTTGTCACGGCGCGATTTTCCCCCGCGCCAGCGGCGGTTGTGGAATTACGGTTTTATTTCAAAACTCACGGGAGCGGTTATTTGCGCGGTTATTCACGGCGCGGTTTTAAATCGCGTCGCGTGCTAAGTCACTGGTACGAAATGTTCGCCCCCCGATCGGGCGGGCGAAAACCGCCGAGCGGGACCCATTACAACCGCGCCCGCTGCGGGCGAAAACCGTGTCGTGTGTTGTGCATTAGTTTTTACATAAGTAATATCGCGCCATGAGTTCTTAGCCTAAGTGGGAGGGAGAGTCGCATTCGAGGTGCGCAGTTAGCTCGATCGGGTTGTAGTAAATTACGTAGTGCAGAGGAGCAGTGGAGACTAAATCTGAAGACAATGATTGAATGAATGAATGACTACTCTGCCGTGCTAGCAATACCAACAGTAACTCAATTTTTTGGCAAAACTATGACTTACTTGACTTATGGTCCTATGTCCCCTAGATGGGGCAGAGGGCGTCCACAACAGTCCTCCATCTCGTTCGGTCTTGAGCTTCTCGCTTGATCTCGCTCCAGGTCTTGCCGATCTTCTTCGCCTCGTCCGCTACAGTGCGCCGCCAAGTTTGGCAAAACTATAATCAGCTCTATTTCAGATGAGCTGACAGGAGTTTTTTTAACAGCACAATATTGGAGTTACTACTGATATCGCTAGCACGGAAGTACTGTGGACGTAAAATTCTCCACCGCGTACACCGTCTCCAGCTTTCTCATCCAGCGACTTTCAGCTATTTTTTTCTGATTGTAGATCAATCTAGCAATTTTTGCGTCGTACACTAAGGTCTTTAGAACTAGTGTACTTTAGTATAACTGTATAATCAATTGACTAAATGTGAACTAGCCTATTGACTTAATTTCAGGTGGAGAACTACATCCGAATTTTATACGGCTTCTACATAGAGGGCGCTATGGCGTTGCTGGCTTGCGCACTAGCCACATTGCGGGCGCACAGCAGCGCGACTGTCAACTTTATGTCCGACAAATACAGACTATTTACGATTAACAAACAAAACTAGGACTCCTTGGAGGTAAAGTGACATGCAGCATCGTGTTTAGTAAGTTTTTTTTTATTTGTTCGTTTCAGTCGAAAGACGTCCACTGCTAGACAAAGGCCTCCCCCAAGGATTTCCACAAAGACCGGGCCTGCGCCGCTCGAATCCATTTTTAGTGTTTAGTAGATTTTTTTAACTATGAAATAGATATTTATGAACTTTGTAACAAGTGCGGTTAAGGTTGTTTTATAATACAATAATGTTACGGAAAAAGTTATTTCAGAGGGTATAGTCAAGTCAAGGACCAGTATTGGTACTGGTTTTTAATAGACTTATTGCTGTGGTAGGTATTTATTACGTAGAGTTAGAAGCATTGTCCGTGTAAATACTTACGTTTTAAGTAAGTAGCATAAAATATAATATTAGGGTTTGTAATAAAAATGCCACATTATTGTAATGTATTGTTTTAATTTCCTACAAACTAGTCAACGGCTATGTACAGCTTTCTTTGATCATTTTATGTTTAGCAACATATTACAATTTGGTATTTTGATAGAGTATGTTTTGTTAAATCAACCAGATAATATAATCGTTATATTCGTTTTAAATTGTATCTAGTGAGTCCAAAAAAAATAATATCGAAAAACGAAAACATATCTTTTGCATTAGCTAATGTATCACAGAGTGTACCTACATGTATTAACGTTACAATGTTCCAGCATTCGAAATTGTAAAATAAAAATACCCAAATAATTATAAACATATCCAATTCGAAACATCGAAAATGTATGACCTAAAAATTGGAATTGGCTATTCTTCATCCATCCTCCCTTTAGAATGGCAGTCCAAGAAACTACAAAATTACAGTGCAACCATCTTCCAAAAATATCCATCCAACAAGAAAAATAACTCGATGATAGAGGGCGCCACATAGCTTTAAGTCACGACAAAAGTGGCAATTTTTATAAAATTCCATTCCATTCTCTAAAACAAAGATCTTTCTTATTTAAAAGTCCTTATTAGTTGTCGAATTTCGAACAAACACTATTCAAAAAAGTCCCATCGCTAAAAAAGCGCTTTTACACTGCGCGGAAATTAGCCAAGTCAAAAAAACAGTGGGGTGGGGATGAAAAAATTAGGCGGTTATCACACTGCGCCGCGCTCCGTCGCGGAGCGCGGGGCGACAGATTTAATCATTGTATGCAAGTACCTCAGTTTGTATAGAAAACACGCGCGGCACTTCACACTGACAACGCGTCCGCGCGCGTGATTTTTTATATGAAAATCACGCGCTCCGCGGCGGAGCGCGGCGCAGTATGATAACCGCCTTAATTAATTTCATCCCCACTCCCCTGGTTTTTTTACTTGACTCGGCTAATTTCCGCGTAGTGTAAATCCGCCAAAAGATTGGCACACCAAATCATTGCCCAAAACTTGTGATTACTTGGTTTTCTTCAACTCCATTTTCAGTCAATTTCACGTAATCCACATTAAAAAAAACACGTTCTGTGGACTGCCGATCTAATACTAAATCTTTACATAAAATACCTAACCTATCCCTTGCTCCTCTTGGATTCCTTCATGACGTCATCGTCCGGAGTCTCGGGCGAGTCTTGACTACCCTCGATGGTCTTCTTGTCCTTGATCGCCTCTTTCACGGCGTCCACCAAGTCTTGGGGATCAGAAACTGATATTTTCTTACCTGAAAATGTTCGGGTGGTGTTATGGGATTCTACTTATTGTGATAGAGAATATACTTGAATAACATCAAAATCTAAAAAACTACGTATTCTACACCTCTTCACCACCCAAAGGAATCGTTTCGCTGTCAGTTGTTTTGTTATGTATAACTTTTATTAATTAGGAATTTACCTTATTTTACGTTTTATTGTGTTCTTTATTACTAAAAACTATCACTTATAGCAACTGTCTACGAGTCGTCAAGTTACTATTGAGTAGTCTTACGCCCGTATTCACAAACATTACTATGAGGTCTCACAGTGCGCGTGGACGCACAGGGTTACACATGAACCAATCACAGAGCTCTTTTCAACGCTGTACGTTCGATTTGCTGCTTTCAAGCATGGTTTGTGAAGACGGGCGTTCAAATTAGGTATAGGTCGCACAGCAAGAGTTGAGACGATCAAAACAAGCAAAGATCTACCTATACGGTTGTCGCGCTGAAGTATTCCGATTGTTTTGTGTGTTCTGTATTCAAATATTATAGCCCGACCAGGAACATAAAAACCCTCGCCATGTTGCGGAAAACTAATGGTACTATTTTCTTTTAATGGCAACAGTAACTGAAAACTTCATTGACATGTCACCTTGCATGTCAGTCTATTGCTGTCAAAGTGTAAACAAACTTTATTTTAAATGTGCGCAATTGATTTTGTGAATTAAATTGCTAAAATATTTTTATAGTCGTGAAAGAAAAGTGGTTCACAATGTGTTAAAGTATTTGTCGAAGAAAAATACTAAGGGTTCGGACAATATTTTCATTGAATAATGTTTCCGACAAAGATTGTCAAATTGACTGACATGTTTATCGTATCGTACAGTCCACTATGAAAATTAGCTGTGGTTTGTTTCAACTACCTATTTTAAAGATTTTTTTCACTTCGTAAGTGTTGAATTTTATGGAATTGGGAAAGAAGTACCGAGCTTGAAACGTTCATGAGCAGACATTGCAGTTGAATATTCAAGTTCTGAATTTGATTATTGATGAATAATAAAATAAGTCCTACTAGCTCGATTGAGGGTTTCATTTAATTTATTTAAACCAGGTTACCTATAATAATATTTTTTCGTTAATTTATGAAAATATCAAATTAGCCCGTAATCCTGAATCCTGATACATAAAGTTAGCCTATTAATTTAACACAGTTACGACTGTACTCAGTGTTGCACTATCAAATGCAATTGACGCGCCTCTATGTCAGGGTTTTTATGTTCCTGGTCAGGCTATACATTAGTATGCTTGTGTTCGCCTCAACTTTCGTCGCGCGACCTATACCTATCTACGGTTGATTTTTCAAACTACCTACATTACTTCTGAGAACTATCTACCATTTATTTGAAAGTGTATCCAATAGGAATAGACTCACAAAACGTTTAACTGCTCTCATCATTAGATTGTATCACCTAAACGAGCAAAGAAAATAGTTTTTAATCGCAATTCTGTTATACCATTTTCTCTAAGCTTTTATCAAACTAAAACGGATTTATAACAGAGACTATCACCTATAACGTATCATTTATTATTTTCTAGTAATCTGTCTGTCGCTGCTGGTCATGCCAGTATCACATTATGAGTGAGAAAGATAAAAATACAGAAAAGTTCTAAGTTTTGTTTACAGTTTAGTGAATCAGAAGCGGAACTATGTATGTATGTAAATTAAAAATTTTGAAAGCTACTCAGAATTTGGTATTATTCAGGATTATAGCATGATGGTGTAAGGGAATCCAAATGGGTTACAAATAAAACAACAGATAGCGTTGAATTTCGTATATTCATTAAATTATTTACATCATTATGTATGACCATCATACTATAGCCCTTGCTAAACTACATACACAGGCATACACTCATCTCTCACTCATTGTAAATAAATACAACATTTACATAACAACAATAAGTCAAAAGTAAACTCCAAATATGCAAAATCGCAGACAATCAACTGATTTATAATATGAACTTATTTAATTTGTGTTCGCAACTAATTAAGTATAACACGCTATGTGATAAGTATTTGAACCCATTAATTAAGATTTAGTATATTATTCAACCCATTTTATTCCTATCTGATAATACATTCTGAACCGTATCTCCTTTACTTTGGCCTAAGCGCAGACCACCGATTTTTAGTTGGCCGATAGTTGGGCCCGATTCTAATTTGTGTGAAGAATCAGCCGATACCAAATCGGTGTAATGTTAGCACTTTCATACATGTCCATACTGATTAACAGCCCGACCCAACCATCGGCCAACTAAAAGTCGGCGGTCTGCGCGTAGGCTTAAGCTTCATTCGTCATAACCATCAACTCAAGCGTCATACAATTCTGGATTCTGTTCCTTTTGCCTTTTCAACGCTCTCTCATACCCTAAAGGCTTATCTGGCTCTCTTATCACTCTGTTATCATACTCTCTCGCATACCTATGCACAAAATTATCAGGGTCATTGTCCTGTAGCATTATCATCGTATAAATGACCACAGACATCAAAAATCCTACAACAAACGCTGGTCGATGCGCATTGTATGTATCGACTAGGTTTTCTAGAAATGTCCACGCTTTCGTTTTGTCTCGCTCTGTTTCTTCGGAGTCTCTGTTCAATGGGTGTACTTTTTGGTTATCGTCTTTAGTGCTATTTTTGGTCTTGTCTGCAAAACAAATTTGGTTTTATCCCCGAACGTTTTGGAAAAGGAAGAGCAAAGCAATATAAACTTTAAATGAAAAGAAAGAAAAGTATTCCCCTGTGACTAACTAAGACGGTTTTCCTTTCTCTCAAACCCATTTAGAAAAAGCAATCATTAATGTTCCTATGTAATTATCGCCATTATCGGAACAAAATCACATCATTAAAATTATCTAGGCTCCTAAAATGATAAAACAGATAGTGAGAACATCAATCAACAAAAAGTAGTGTATAAATAGCAATAAATCCAACTAAATTATTGTACTCGAATATTAAAAAGTCGTTTTGACCCAATAATGAAATTAATAATGTCTGGCTATAAAAAAAGTGTATAAAATGCAATCAATTAAAACAAACAAACGAAAAGAGATACTCTATGATTCACTCTTTTATGATTCACTCTTTTATTGTCTTTGGCGGTTAACATCGCATTAGTGCTAACTAGTAAAGATAAAACAGCAATTAATGTCTGGTCGCCAAACACGTAGAATTTTGTCCAATGACCCCAAGCTACCTAATACCGTAATTATATTGCTGTCGCGACTGTGCGACGGGCGGCAGCAGTGAGTGTGCGAGCGCGACAGCAATATAATTACGCGCGAGCGATAAGCATAGGTAGCTTGGGGTCATTGGACAAAATTCTACGTGCTCGCAGATCAGATTATAGTAAAGATAAAACAGCAATTAGTAATATGCCTGGCCTATAAATTAACTATGTTTGATGTCCTCACTTCCCGTTTTTAACCTAACAATCAAATAAAAATGCACAGACAGCACCATTTATTGTTATTTAGTTTATTTCTTACCGTCTCTGTCGTACGAGACGCCGTGAATTTGTCCGGGCGTGTCCTCCTCTAATTCCGCGTATGCATACACCAACGCCTTCTGTTTGTCGCTCAGTGACTTTGGTACCTGGAAATGAAAGAGATTACGTATTGTTGATAACTTGAAACTAACGAAACTTCCTTAAAACGCAAAATAGCCCTGAAGGCTAGTTTCCTAAAAAAATTTTTTTAGTCCGTCATGTCTATTATCAAAAAATATTGGACACATATATTTTTATTTGTCAATCTAACAAATAATTACATAGCTATGGTGCTTTTAAGTTCCGCGCCACGTCACAAAGTGCAGCACTTTTATGCACTCATTGACGTCACGGGCCTCTTCTTATGAACTTTGGCGCGCTTTATCTCTTAAAATTTTCAATAGTTTGAAAAAGTGAAAAATACGTGTAGAGTATTTTTTGATAAGTTAACTGACGGACTAATTAAAACTTTTGCTTTTTGACCCAGGAAACATCCCTATTGTATTGTGTCTTGTAAAAGTAAGTATAACTTAACGTAAATTCGCTGATAGTGCAATAAAAAGTGCAAATGAGACAGCGCAAATAATGCACGCTTACCCCGGGCCACACACATCGCAAAGACCCGAAGATTCGCGATATGTAGTCAAGTATTCGCGTACGTTTCGGCGCTTTTTAGCATTCGCACTTCGCTCCGCTGTCGCCCGAATGTTATCGCCATGTGTGTGGTCCAGGAGATCAGTAATTGAGTTGGTGAAAAAGTTACGTCAAACCATGTGACAATGTTTTGACAGCTCGTAAATTGGGGAGAGAATTATTGACATGATAAGTGAAATGACATCATTAATCTGTATTTTTTTCTCTATCATAATCTTTTGGTTGGTTGGTTGACAGTTGGAAGATCGTATTTACCTGTATTTTGACGTGCACATAATGGTCTCCATAGCCGTGTTGGCTGACTCTCTTCATGCCTTTGCGGGACAGGCGGATACTAGTGTGGGACGATGTGCCGGGCATTATCTATAAAAACAATAAATTAGTTCATAAAAATTATACTGTATACAGAACATTTGCATTTGTTGAATGGCAACTGCTTTTTTAATTTTAATTTTTATACTAACCTGGATAGTATGGTCTTCATATAAGCCTTGTATTCTCACAGTACCACCTAGTAGGGCTTGCGATACGGAAATCTGAAAGCAAACAGGATATCTTGTGTTTATTTAAGAAACAGCACATTTTAATATAAGATAAAAAGTGCCAATGTTATTCGAGCTTTGAAGTAGACACACAGATTGATCTTGAAACGGAAGTAATTTAATCGTAATGAATGTTAATCAGTTGGCGCCACTGTAGTTGTTTTGGTGGCTTAGTGGCACCAACAACAGTTCAAAAGTGCCTAAAAGATATCTATTTATTTCATTTCATTTCAACAGTTGGGCTCTAAAATGCTACTCTGACAAACGTTACTTCGACATTACATTACTCTGACACTATACTACTCAGACAAAGGCGAATATCCTTTGTCTGAGTAGTGTAGTGTCGAAGTAAACCAGTGGTTCCCAAACTTATTTTGTCTACTGCCCACTTCGAGAATAAATTCTTTTTAGCGCCCCCATTTGTAGTCGCGTGTCGAGTGCTTAGTCGGTGTCTAAGAGTCCTTATAGTAAATGACGCCTCCCAAGCCTCTACACAACGTCCCGATTTTTTTTTCTGGGTCTCTTACCGCCCCCCTTTATCTGCAGCGCCCACAAGGGGGCGTTATCGCCCACTTTGGGAAAGATTGAAGTAAACTCATGTCGATATTCACTAGTGTCAGAGTAACGTAATGTCGAAGTAACTTTTGTCGGAGTTTACTTAGGTAGCCCAACATTTGAGCCAAATACGAAAGGCTTCATTCGCATTCCATTATACAAAAACTCCGCTCACTACACTACTTTGTGGTAAACAACCACAAAATACTATACAGCAAAGACACAAAACTTTGCACTCTTACTTTGCAGTAAATAATTAGACACAGACAACTTACAGCGCAATCAGTGTGGACATCAGGCCCGTCCCTCTTGAAGTAAGCCGACTTCTCGACCTTGAAGGTGACGAAGATCTCGTTGCTTCCGACCGCCATGCGGACCGTCTGTCCATCCTCGACGCCGGCCGGCACTGGCACTGTTACCTTCTTGCGTTGGACCTGAAAAAAATCATGACATTTGATTAATATACTCACATGTCTAGTCAAGTAACTGAGATTGGCAGATAACTGCGTGGCGATCTACGCGCTTCAGCTGGACTATAGGACTAAGGAAATAAAAAACTTGATAAAATTGTGACTGCTGGGCTGGGGTTCCACAGCATGAAGACATTAGGCTTAATTGTTTTAAGGGCTGAGTTGAATCACCGTATTTTAACCGTAACATTATCTGGTGCTTTTTGTATGGAGTTTGATAGATCTTGACGTTTGTCAAAGTTAAAGTAAGATGGTGCAACACAGCCTAAGTGTTTTCACAGCATTACAAACTTTTCATGTCTTAAATTCAAGTCTGGCCTGCTAAGTTTTATACCAACGCAATACACATAAGTCAACTATGTAAAATTATGATCTAACATCTATTTCTTGGAAAGAATGCATTCTGGTCATAAAACGCTTACTTCAATAACTGCTTAATTATTATACTTACAGACTGCCCTTTTCCTTCACACTCAACACAAGGGAATTTAATCAGCATTCTGGTGCCATGACAATGCCGACATGTAGAACGCATCACAAATGGACCTGAAATAAATGCATAGAAACATTATTCTATTGTCATAATAGATAACATTCGTGTCATCATATGTTGTGACAACACACTCCCAATCTTCCTGTGAGAGTCGTTAATGGCGATTAAGGGCTATGCTAGCATCAAACCTCCTAATTCTGTCATCATTATCATCATCTTCAGCCATAGGACGACCACTGCTGAACATAGGCCTCCCCCCGTGATTTCCACAATGGCTGGTTGGTGGCGGCCTGCATCTAGTGCCTTCCCTCATTTTGTGCCTCTGTATAATTAGATAATGTAGTGCTCTTTACATTATAACTTTAACGACTTACCTCTAGAGAAGGTTTCCATGCCAGTTCCACTGCAGTAAGTACACTTGATGGCCTTTGTGCCTGGCTCACAGCGGGAGCCCTGGCACTTTGGGCAGGTGTCCACCACATTGATGTTGATATCCTTGTTCACCCCACGAGCTGCTTCAGTGAACCGGAGATTAACAATCACCTGGAGAAAGAGGAGTCATTTAGGTGCTGGTGTAATAGTTGGAATGCATGAAAAAGATATTGATCAATTACAGATTTTTTTTTTTTATGCAAGACAAGGCAGGTTGACTGCAATCGCAACTGATGTTAAGATTCTAGAGTTAAGTTAAGAATCACATCTATTCTATTCTAATATTATTACAGGTACCAAAATGAATATTGGATTAAGGTGCTAGTAGATTATGAATAGTCAAATGAAAGTTGTTTTATTAGCTGAAAGAAACTGTTCTATTAGTAATCATTGTTACTATCATTGTGCCTATAGATCAGTGCAAACTACTGCTAATAAACTGTTTACATGGACTAAAATCAATTTGAAGCTATAACAAACAATAGACAAGGTTATGCTTAAAACAACTACCTCTTGTGCTGCACCAAACCCAAACTGGCTCTCTGCAAAGTCACTGAATGCCTCACTCTTGAACCCAGCATCACCGAATATCTTCCGGAACAGTTCCTCAGGGTCTATGGTGGACTTGTACTGCCATTGGTGAGTAAAACCGTCTGGGCCACTCGGGCCTCCACCCATGCCCATTTGTTCTGATGTTGTGCCGAATGTATCATATTGCTTGCGCTTGTTTTCATCTGAGAGGATCTGTAAATAAATATGTAATGTTGAAATACTGGTCTATTATCTTAGCTTCTAATTTAAATAAGACATACACTTTTTAATTATTGTAAACACAAAATATTACTAAAAATGTACAATGAATGAACTCAATCTACTAGTCTACAAAAATTGTTAAGAGAACATCTAGATTACTGGTAGATAACATTGTTACAGCCAACTTACTTCATAAGCTTCAGAAACTTCTTGAAACTTCTTAGAAGCCTCCGGGTCAGACTTATTTGCATCTGGATGGTATTTCTTGGCAAGCTGATAGTACGCCTTCTTGATGTCTTTGGCTGAAGCATTCTTAGCCACCCCGAGCACTTTATAGTAATCAGCACGAGCGTTTACACTGTTTGTAGTATGAATGTACCGATAATTTTTGACCGAAACATCTGAAATAGATTGAGGTTATGTTTCAAATAATATTGCGAAACACTAATAGTAGTTTTGTAAAACTGTGATATCATAATTAAGAAGATAAATAAAGTGATACAGACTTAAACAAAACAGTTTTACTCAAGGAAATAACCCTGGATGATGTAATGAAAGCATGTAAAACTTACGACTAAAATCTTTACGACCTAAAACTGCACCGGACAAAGCCGGGGCACCCAAATATTGGTCACAATAATTACTGCACTTATGAACAAATCTGCAGGGTGTTTTAGATAAATTACTAGAAATTACAGCGGTAATCGCTTTGGGGTTCAAAAATCCCAGAATACTCCGGGTAGGAGCCATCTTGAAAGAAAATGACATGACTGACAGCTGTCACACATTACCCCGTGACCATAGAGTGAAGAGCCGATTGTATACAGATTATAAAAGAGTTCAATTGGAATTCAATTGAATATTAATTATTCACCGAAATCATGTATGCTAGCCTTAATAGAAAAACTACCAAAATCTACTAAATTTATATTTCAGTAATGTAATGATTGTGGCAACATTATTTTCCGGGGCAACGGTAGGCAAGATGATTTATAAACAAAAATGAGCTTACAAAATGCCAATTATTCTATTTAAATTTTGAGATAAAAGTTTAATGAAACAGTTAATATTTGTATCGAGTGGTAGTGTAAATATTGTAACACGAAGAAACCTCTGTGACCATGGCTTCAATAAATGTTCGCGATCAAAAGATCGAACAGCAAGTGAGTTTGCGTTTTAAATTTAATTTACTTGAAAAATCGTTACAGTTTCAGCATTTGGGGCAGCTTTTGAATAAATAATTGACATTCATACTTAATTTTTGTAGCGTCAATTGATGGAGCAAAAAATGAAGCAGAAAAGGCAGAATTCAGGAATGGTCCAAGCCAACGATCTGCGGGTCGGTTCAGCTAAACGTCCGATATCTGGTAGTCGCTCCAGAGAACTCCATGGTATGTTCTTCAATCTATTCTTGCCTGAACATATTTTATGTTTAGTTTTTTGTATGCATGTTTCATGTTGTCAGTGCATTTAATTTTTTTATGCGCATTTTATTTTCATAACAGGCTATGATGGTCCGATGCAATTTCTTATGTCGCCAGTCAACCCAGACCAAGTTATTCCGCTTCAAACAAATAGAATGTCAACGTATGACGGTAAGTAAAGAGCTCGGTGGAGAATATCTACATCGTAGCAATAGTGTTTAACACCACACATTTTTTACTATTAATGACTTCAATATTCAGTCAAATCATACAACTTAGACTTGCAACAAACATAGCCACCCACAGGGATCAGTAATGATTTTTAGAAAAAACATTTTCAAGGGGCAAATTATTTTTATTCTTACTCGCACTTACTAAACATTTGATAGTATTCAATTAATTTCTTGCAAGTGTAATTTTTATATTATTTTACTGTTCTATGTCAATTCTAGCAACTTATTTGGCATGTTTTTTGTTAATTTTACAATTGCTTCTTGTCATTTTTCTCTTAGATTTTGATTATTGATGTGAAATGATCAAATTCTTTTATACTCGCTCAAGGTTGTCCTGAAACTTTAAAATCGAGAATAATAAAGTCCTTAAATGTGTTTAAAATAAAAACAAACATTTTGAATTTCAATAAAATGTATTTATTCATTTAAAATTTGTCATAAAACAAAGCTTCCACAAAACATTTTAAAAAAAAAACTCATTAACCTACTGCATGATTGACCCAGTTAAAATACCTACTACCTTAATTTTGTTTCAATGAACATGTAAACAATGAAAAACTGAGTCTTTTGTTATTTTGTGAGTCATTTTCATTTGAATGAATCAATGATGTATGACTGTATGACCATGATATCATTGGTTCACAAAACTTACAAATGTCAACCATCCATTACTGATCTATTTTACATCATGGCAACATTGTCAGGGTGTCCATCGTACTTACACAAGTATACCAAATTTCAGCTCAATTGATTAAGGAGAACTGGTTTTAAATTCAGTTGTAAGATTTATCCCATACTAACTAACAAGCGAAGTGCTTGTAAAAATGTACGCATATCTTTTTTGCGACTAGGTTTCTTAGAGTACCATTTTGGAATCTTGCATAGTTGCGTCAACTTTGAAAAAACTTGCCGCAGTAGTGTTCATACTTTTTTTTTACAAAACGATGAGTCAAAGTGGAGTGAAAGTAAAAATCGTTCAAAATTTTAAGGAAATAAAATATTTTGATTAACTTATGTGTAAAAACTGCAAGGATTCTGGGGGTTTTAAGAGTTGTGGTGAACAGCAGCACTACTTAAGTTGCCGATATAAACAGAAAACCAGGAATAATTGAAAAATTGTGGTCGTGGTAATGTAAAATATCATAAGGGGTGTCAATTTTCGTTGAATTTCATAATTTATTGTGTAAGTTAAAAAATAATTGAGATAGATTTTTTTCTTATGTTTCCTAAAGTAGTCATGACTATGTCCATCCTGTGGGGTCCGTGGCCGAGTCCCCCTGTGTTCGATGCACCCGTGGTCGACGCCCCCGGTCAGATAGAAGCAATTTTTAATCAAATGTACAGTCAGTCACAAAAATATTTATAAACGAATAAATATTTATACTGATCGTACAAATAAATGTTTAATATTATTTTAAAAATATAATAGGTTTTATTTATCTATAATAACATGTAAATCGTTTTACCTAATCAAAATAATTGTAACAATCAGTCTTTAAAATAACTCTACTCTCTCTACGTTTAACTAACTACAAATAAAAGTTTTAATTATAAAAGTTTTAAGTATTTTTAACAAAAAATTAAATACATCATTTTAAATAGCGTCAAACATGCATGGTTTTCGTTGACTGTACTTAGTGCAAAAGGCGAAAAAAATATGATATTAAATTTATTTAAATCGGGGGCTTCAACCACGGGTGTGTCGAATACTGGGGGACTCGGCCACGGACCCATCCTGTGGCGTCGGCTTATCCTTGAATTTTGGGACACGTATACATAGTTGGTCAGGGAATTTTGAAAAAATAGTCAGGGAAAGTCAGGGAAAAGTCAGGGAATTTTTTCGAACATTTGCAGTGGACACCCTGATTGTGAATAATTTATCTAATATCTTCTAATATTGTGATTATCTGCTGCTATGTATTTAAAAGGAAGGATATTTTTTATTTTTTTATGCATGTATAGCCATGGGCGAAATCTAGATAAGATTTACTACAACTATAAGTGCTTTTAGAATTTAATTTTTAAAATAAATGAAAAAACAACTTTAATATAAATACAATCAACAGCATATCACCTAACCAAAAAATAGCACACTTCCCCAGTGTTTTGTATTTTATATCCTAATGTTGCAGACAAACAACAGAATCTCAAATCATAAGTTTTCATTGCAAAATAGTGCTTATTACAACTACATAGGACCCCAGTGTGTTTAGCTTGATATGCCGTCGTCTGTACCTAATTACTAATTAAATTAATTTTGTTTTAATATTATACGGAAATTTCCGCGCTGCAGTATACCTCACTATTATACAAACTAAAGCATTATTCGGTGTATGCCAGACTTAGCATATTTGCTCAGGCATAAAGGTATTCCACGTTTCAAACATTTCATGCTGGAACTAGGGTTACCATTCGTCCGGATATGTCCGGACTTTTAGACTAGTTCTCTCATCAATTTGTCCGGTTTTTTTAATTAGGAATACTTATTATGGGGAGGCCTTTGTCCAGCAGTGGACGTCATTTGGCTGAAACGAACGAACGAACGATTATGAGTAATAAAACAATGCGAGCGTCTACTACCATGCTCACTCTAATGTAACTGAGTAATGTTTCCATTTCTTGACTAAAAAGCCCGAACTAAAGAAATGTCAGGACTTTTCAAATTCCTAAAATGGTAACCCTAGTTGGAACTTGGAACTGCGTGATTTCTTTCGCTTGAACTCAAAACTGCTTTACTGCCTTCGCTCACGCGAATAGCTCTATGGAAATATCGGTATTACGAATCTTATGGCGTGTGTTATCATTACCGTTGCTTGTTACGTAAATAGCAACCAAACAGATACAGATGGCATGTCAAGCTTGACACTAGCATCTTAAGTGGTTGTAATAGGGGCTAAAATCAAACAAACATGTAAAGGATGATGTGCTGTTGCTATACTGTTTGATAACTAAAATAGGCGATAGCCGTGAAGACGGAAACGATGTTTATCATTTATCTAAAATCGATTTTAAACAACTATAGGCTCCATTACTGCTCTTTAGTTCGGAGTTAACTTATCTGGCGTAAAGAATATTTCTGTGAAACTTTCTGAACTGCAAAAAATCGTTAGTTAAATAATGTGAGAACATAAGTTATTTGACTGGAATTGCAGGCGATAACTTTATTCATCATAATTCAGTGAAAAATTAAAATGGGTGAGACTCAGATTCATTCAGAGAGACGAATAATCATGTTGATGACGGTTGCTTTATAGTCCGTCTACATTTTTTTACGTAGAACCTACTTGAAATTGTAAAATGTACGGATTGATCGGAATCTGTAAAATAAAGCCATAAATTCACCAAGGAATAAGCAACATGTTACGTAGTGCATCTCAGTAAAGTCGGATACTTTGCCAAAAGATTGAACACGCGTTGCCAAAAATTCTGGGGCCAGTAACATCCTTTTGAACTTAATTGCCTTTATATTTAGGTCCAAAAACTAGAAAAAATTTACTTGTTTGTGAGCTAATACACTGTAATGCTTCAACTACACCAACGCGTGCAGATCGCCATCGCCGGCGCGATCATAGGCCAATGACAGGTCGCGCGAACTGTGGTCGCGCCGGCGATGGCGATTTGCACGCGTTGGTGTGGTTAAAGCTTAACTAAATAAATAAATAAATATCCTTGGACATTTTACACTGCGCTTCTAGTCCCAAACTAAGCAAAGCTTGTACTATGGGTACTAGACAACGGATATAAACATACTTAAATACTTTTTTTTTTTGTAAATACATACATATTATACATAGAAAACACCCAGTCCAATACAAACAAATATGTTCATGCACACAAATGTTTGTACTGTGCGGGAATCGAACCCGCAACCTCCGGAATAGTAGTCCGTTTCGAACCACTACACCAAACGGCCGACTATTACTAACTCAGACTATTATTTAACTCAAACAAATGCTGCATCTGTGATCATACAAACCATCCTTCCAGAACTAGGCAACCAAATAGAGGTGCTGACGGTAGGCGACGGCTCCGGTAGCGGAGAGGAGGAAGAGGAGAGCGTGCCCGTTTGTAGCGTTGGCCGCGACGCGAGCGCCGATGACGTATGTGCCGACGCGGCCGTCGCTCCCCTTCAGCCGAGGGGCGCTGTGCGCAGGGACCTGTCTCCGAGCCAGGTGAGCGCGGTGACGGAGCGGAGAGGAGAGCGGAGCGGGCCCGTGTGCAGCGTGGGCCGCGACGTGTGCGCCGACGCGGCCGTCGCTCCCCTACAGCCGAGGGGCGCTGTGCGCAGGGACCTGTCTCCGAGCCAGGTGAGCGCGGTGACGGAGCGGAGAGGAGAGCGGAGCGGGCCCGTGTGCAGCGTGAGTCGCGATGTGTATGCCGACGCGGCCGTCGCTCCCCTTCAGCCGAGGGGCGCTGTGCGCAGGGACGTGTCTCCCAGCCAGGTGAGCGAGGTGACGGAGCGGAGAGGAGAGCGGAGCGGGCCCGTATGCAGTGTGGGTCGCGATGTGTATGCCGACGCGGCCGTCGCTCCCCTTCAGCCGAGGGGCGCTGTGCGCAGGGACCTGTCTCTTAGCCAGGTGAGCGAGGTGACGGAGCGGAGAGGAGAGCGGAGCGGGCCCGTATGCAGTGTGGGTCGCGATGTGTATGCCGACGCGGCCGTCGCTCCCCTTCAGCCGAGGGGCGCTGTGCGCAGGGACCTGTCTCCTAGCCAGGTGAGCGAGGTGACGGAGCGGAGAGGAAAGCGGAGCAGGCCCGTGTGCAGCGTGGGCCGCGACGCGAGCGCCGACATCAGGTCATTTAGTCCACAAGTTTTGTCGTGAAAAATACAAATACAGTGCACTTTTAGCAACATCTTGATAACATAAAGTATTATTTTTAGAAACATTTAACATTATTTGCACAAGTAAAAGCCAGTTATCAATGTTAACCCACTTGTGGACGTACAACCGAAACAATCTGCTTGATAACGTGAATTTGTTTGTCTAATTACTTACTACCTCATGTTGGTAGGTACAAGTGCATTTTCACGCGATGTTTTATTTAGGTATTATTGTGGTTTGCCTTGTTTTAATAAATAGTAGTATTTCCCTAATATGAAACCAAACTGTATTTATCTATCTATATATATAAAAATGAAACCCGTTTCGCGTTGTCACGGCATCACGTGTGAACGGCTGAACCGATTTCGATAATTCTTTTTTTTAAATGTTTGTGGAAGTCCAAGGATGGTTCTTACGGAAAAAAATATTAAGAAAATCTCTACGCTAAGGCGGTACGAAGTTCGCCGGGTCAGCTAGTACTAATATAATATGAAATCTAACGAATCCGTAAGCTTCAAACTCGCGAAAGTTTAAACTTTATTTGAAAGCCGCTCTTATTTGATAAGGTCCTGGATTACTCACAGGTTTACAGGTAAATTCCTCGCAAGAAAAACATAGGCTAATAATACACCGCATAAAAATAAAGAATAGAAGGTGGAAAGGGCACAAAAGTGGCAAGGTCACTGCAGACAACCACTAGTTGATATGGTAACCTTTGAACTTTGAAACCTTGAAATAAAGAGTTCCTTTCAGTCCCTGAGTGGTCCAGACAGTATCAAAATCGAATTAAAACATTTAACTACTAGTGGCCGCCCGCGACTTCGTACGCGTGGACCCCGTTTTACCCCAGGGGTTGAATTTAGCAAAATCCCGTCTTAATGAGCATCTACTTTCTAAAAGGAACTTCCATGCAAAATTTGAGACTCCTAGCACTTCTTCTTTCTTTCTTTTCGTGTCGACAACAAACCTACACAGTGTCCGCCCAAAACTCCGCCACAAGAGTGGCGTTGTCAGTAGCACTCATCAAATCCTCCTGAGTGCACTTCTAGTGTCTGAGATATCAGGATGAGTGGGTCAGTCAGTGACCTATAGATTACTTAGGCCCTTTCAATGACACTTGCAAACGACGTCCCAAATATAGGTAGCTAGCCCTACAACCACTTCGGGTCAGCCTCTTTTTCACACTTTAAGACGTATGTAATACATAGGTAGGTAGATTACACAAGGTTTCAAAGTAAACAGTAGATCTTTGGACTAATCAAGTTAGATATTATTGCGATAAGTACCATAATATCTAATTTTAACAAGTACCTGAAAGTTGTTAATTCGTCTTCCAGACAGCAGAGATCGAGGGTTCCGTAGAAGGAGCAGTGGAGATGTTCGTAGTGACCCCTGCTAAGCACGGCACCCTGTATAAGTGCCGGATAGCACGCGACCGCAAGGGAATGGATAGGGGGCTGTATCCTACCTACTTTCTGCACCTGGAGAAGGATTACGGAAAGAAAGTTTTCTTACTGGCTGGTGAGTTGGTTTTGTATTACTGGTCTCTCTGTCTACAATTTTGGTATGTCACAACAAAAAACCGTTGATTTTTCGTCGGCCGATAGTTTAGTCGGGCTGTTGATCAGTATGGGCATGTATGGGAGTGCGCACACTACGCCGATTCGATTTGGCCGATTCTTCATACTATTTGAAATCGGGCACAACTATCGGCCAACTAAAAATCAACGGTGTGCGCCTACTCTAAACCGAAATTGGTAAAAATTTGTACAGCTGTTTAAACTTGATTGACTACCATGACAATATACAGAGTAATTTAACATTTATAATGATAGTCTGGATTAGTTTTAGCTGCATATTCCAAGTAGTAAGTTTAGTTTAATCATCAGCCACAGGACGTCCACTGCTAGACGTAGGCCTCCCCCAATGATTAGAATATGTACTCGTAATTTAATCATAGATAAAACTAGTCAATCAAGTTGCTAAATATCTCTTAAAAATGTTTTGTTATTTAAATAATATCGTATTTATTTGCTAAAGTCAAGGCTCAAAGCACAGCGACCGTAAAATTTTTGACAAAGGCTTTGAACTCTGCCTATTTGCATGTAAAGCAAGTTAAACCGCACTTATTACCGATAAATTTATTCACGCACTCTCAATGAGTAACCCCAATAAGCGTCACCATGGTTTTGAGAGAGTTGTAAACAATGAATCACACGTACAGTCAGCGACAAATAGTTCGTGACTCCTAGTGGCAAAAAGTTGACAACACACCTTATTCCAATGTAACAAAGACGTCTTGCGAACTTTATCGCTACTTTGGGTGTCACGAACTTTTGACGCTGACTGTACCTCTGATGAACTTTATTGTGAACTATTGGGTCGTTATTAAATAGTAGTTCTTTATCGAGCTTGTTTGTTGAATCATAATTTTGCTATTACCTCCATAGGTATTCATTGTCATTTATGTACCATCAAAAATATTGTCTTCTTGTTAAGATTAATTATGAGTGTATTCCGATTTTGATTGAAAGTACCTAGTAAAGGTGAAAGTACCAACTGATAACATTATAATTCAAAAAAATCCCCCAATGATTGCCATAATGACCGGTTGGTAGCGGCCTGCATCCAGTGCCTTCCTGTTACCTTTATGCGGTCGTCGGTCCACCTTGTAGTTGAACGTCCTACGCTGCGCTTTCTGTGGCCTCCACTTCAGAACCTTATTGCCCCATCGGCCGTCAGTTCTGCGTACTGAATCCAATTCTTAAATTTTTTGCTAAGTATTGTATTAGGTCTCTTAATAAATTAAAATAACTTATAACTTTATCAATAAATATCATTTCCCAGCTCGCAAGCGCAAGAAGTCAGCCACCTCCAACTACCTGATCTCAACTGACCCTACGGAACTGACGCGTACCGCTGACAGTTTCGCTGGAAAACTCCGCTCCAATCTCCTGGGGACTGCCTTCACGGTGTATGATAACGGCAAGGCTTGGAGAAAGCACGACCACGCAAGAACCAGACACGAGCTAGCAGCAGTAGTTTATGTAAGTGGGCTTATAAACTTTTATTGCTAAAGCCCGGTCTGTGAGCACGTAGAATTTTGTCCAATGACCCCAAGCTACCCATCCTTATCGCTCGCGCGTAATTATATTGCTGTCGCGACTGTGCGACGGGCGCCCGCAGTGAGTGTGCGAGCGATCCTTCCAATGCCTGTGTGGTCCAGTCAGTAGCCTTTCACATCTAGCTTTTCATCACAACGCGCACTAGGCTTGGCAGCTATGTATGTGAGTTGATATAATCAGTTCCGAATTTAGACCAAGAGATGGCGCTGTCCTGCTTTACTTTTCAATATCAAAATATTTCTATATGCTATTGTAAGCGATTGAAAACATTTCTGGCCCAGCTGCAGTAGTTTTAAAAAGAGATGTATTATGATATAGTACTGTATGACATCGGTTAGTTTGCGGAAGCATGACGACGCGCGCACAAGACCCGAGCTGCCGTTAATTGTTTAGTTCTAAATATGACCAAGAGAGGGCGCTATCCGATTTTACTTTATTTTTATTTTACTTTAACATTAATCTAGGTACAACTTGTAATTCAATGTTACTTATTTACTTTACAGGACACAAACGTCTTAGGCTTCAAAGGACCTCGCAAAATGACGGTAATCCTGCCGGGCATGACACCAGACCGGCAACGCGTCACCATCGCACCCCAAGACGACAGCGAAACGCTCCTTGAAAGATTGAAAGCCCAAAACCTGGACGACATAGTAGTACTACACAACAAAACGCCAGTATGGAACGACGAGACCCAGTCGTACGTGCTAAACTTCCACGGTAGAGTGACTCAAGCCAGTGTGAAAAATTTCCAAATAGTGCACGATTCGGAACCGGACTATGTGGTGATGCAGTTTGGCAGGATATCCGAGGATGTCTTCACGATGGACTTCAGGTATCCGCTGTGTGCATTGCAAGCGTTTGGCATCGCTCTCAGCTCGTTTGACAGCAAACTTGCTTGCGAGTAAGTTTAGTGTTTTAATATGGTTAACTGGTTTGAAATGTTGGAGAGATACTATTGAGATTTATTTCAGCTAATCTCAACGTCACAAATGATTTTATTCACTTTTACCTTTATCAAGTAAGTTCTATTTATTTATTTATTTAAAGACTATTGCACACACAACAATGTTCTGTACAAAAAGGCGAGCTTAATGCCATATTTACATTCTATGTATATTTACAGTCACAATTACTAACGGACAATTTCAAAACAGTTAACTGTATTTACTCTGACGAATTTATGTATAGTTTAGTTATGGGTACGTCATGGGTAGAAATTAAAAGATATCTACTGTAAATTCCCAGCATTTGCTTATGTATTTAAGGGTTTATCGTTTGAATACATAATCCACAGAGAAGAGAGCTGATCAGAAAAACTTCTAATTTCTGCCCATGATAAATTATTATCAAATATTAGATAGCAATGTGTTAATAAACAAATGCGCACATTTTAGTTTGGTGCTTGTCGTGACGTAGGTTGTGTTAGCGTTTTGACTTTTATCGATTGTATTCATAAGTCTCATTTTGTTTCTCATTGAGGCTTGTACAAATGTACAGCCAAATGGACCGTTTTATGAAGATGATTGTAGGCAAATAATCCATGTAATAACATAAACTGCTGGAGTAATATTATTTATATTTTTAAAATGATATCCCAGTGTCTGAAAACTTGTTTCTCAGTATTCGTATATCAACTAAAGTCTGGTCGCGGAGCACGTAGAATTTTGTCCAATGATCCCAAGCTACCCATCCTTATCGCTCGCGCGTAATTATATTGCTGTTGCGCTCGCACACCCACTGCTGCTGCCCGTCGCACAGTCGCGACAGAAATATAATTACGCCCGAGCGATAAGGATAGGTAGCTTGGGGTCATTGGACAAAATTCTACGTGCTCGGCGACCAGACTATAGCTAGCGATATATCGCTAATCATTACCGAAAAAGGGAATCTGACTAAATTACTTATATCCTTTTAAATTTTGTATTCGATTTTGTTCCTAAAAATAAATTACGTAATTTATATTTTAGTAAATGTAGATTGTAGAGCCATTGATACTAAGCTCCACTTTTTTAAGCTTGGCCGTATCTTTCCCGTGGTTGGTAAGGCGTAACGCACAGGCGGTTTATATTTTTAAAGCAGATGTGATGGAAGCGTTGTTCTTTATGCGGATTCTTTATTTTACCGCCGCATTGCTATGAAAAATTCCTACCCGTTTTTGTGTGTAATGTCCCTTACAATAAAAATGCCACTTGTCACAATAAAAACAATGTCACAAAAGTGTACAAATAATATCATAGCATAGTAATTAAGTTAACTAGTCATTTTATGTAAATATTCGATTTGTTGCATTTAAATTGCCATTATTGTAGGTGTATTTTAATTGATTATGAATTGAGTCTATTATGTTTAATTATTTTCATGATTTTTTCAGTAATCCTAAGAATTAATTGATTATACGTAACTACAATAAAATAAAAATGTACATTTCGTACTTACTTTGTACATAATGGTTGATTGAATCCTGATGATTGAAATTTCATGTATGAGATTTTATTTTTTAACAAAAATGTGACCTAATCTCAATATTATGGTGATTACTTATTTTGGCTTTTAAAGAACAGTTTAAATACTATAATGTACTTAATCAAGTACCTAAGTACTTTTTTAAACTTTAGTTTTAATGTTTCTTTCATTAAGTTATGCACATAATGAAATCCAAAACCAAATCAGTATTATAATGTAATTAATCGTAATTTAATGGTTGCTTAACATTTTGGCACCAACTTTACTCAATAACAATTCTTTCTAAAGATCTTTGTACTGGTGATAATCTATGATAAATAATCGTCTAAAATAATAATGGTCGTCTTCAAATAGAGCTATTTCTGGCCGTTAATCCAAAGACGTGGCTTAAGAATTTCCATAGTAAAATAGAAGTAGTATATCATCTCGAACCATTTGAATACTGGCGCTACGACAAAACTACGTCATCTAACGTAAAGCACACATAATGGCAGACTACTACTTCAGATATTCCGTCACTAAAACGTGGTTGGTACGTACGCGAAACTTCGCAACGAGCTAGGAGACATCAAACTCACTTATGCCCGTTTCACCATCAATCCCTAATTTTTAAGTAACCCCTATGAAAACAAAATGCCTGTTAAGTGTTACCAGAGAAATCACTTAAAAATTAGGGATTGATGGTGAAAACGGGCCTAATTCGGGGCGTATGCCCTATGTGAATGTTCCTACCTTTAGCCAGTCTTAACACGAAGCTAGATCAATTACGAAGATGTTTTACTGTTCTCTTTTACTATGCCATTAGTTTCAAGCTCTTGCAATTCGCCATACTTGGCTTGCTCGGATTGTCCCACTAACTTTACTGTATTAACCTTCTACACTGCCTCTTCTAGTTTTATTTGTAAGATGATAAACTAAATAATATGGATAAATAAATGTGTGCCTATGATAGGTTATGTGTCTAGATAGCTAAAATGGGAAAATAAATATTGTAACTAACACGCGTCAATACTAATGAGCTTCTGTAGTAAACGGGCGTTGTGCTCGTACACCTAAATATATCTCTATCTTAAATGTTGTAGGAATTGTATTATAAATCATCATGAATTAATATTTACTTACCTATGGCGGTAGACAGTGCAACATTCTTCATATTCATTTAATTTTATGTTACAATATATGTTAATCTCCAGCCTACCACAGGCAAAACAGTATGAGTATGAGATGTTGTTTACATTACAAAATAATAATAATAAAATGAGATCTAAACTTACTCTAAATAAATATTTTCTATTTTTGCTTTGAAATACTTGGAACAGTTATTTTCTAGACACGCACATTATACTAATATCATAATCATTTATCCGGTATTCTGGGACTAATTTAATATATCTGTATGTCTATGTAATAAATAGTATAAGTTGATGTGATGTGTATAATAAAATTAAATAAATATTTGGTCCACTACATTTGGAAAGTGTTATAGTAATATGTATGTATAAATAATATGAATATAAAATTATGAAATGTACTTTATACGAGGGCGGCACTGAAAATTTCGGGAATCAAGGAAGTGAAACAACATTACTATTTAAAAATGTATTTATTGCTTTTTAAAGTATTCTCCACGAACTTTGACACATTTTTCNTAGTTCCAAAATACTGGACTGTCCTGTCGATGACATTGACAGTGGGGCGCCACCGTCTATACCGGATCGCTGGTTCAGATTTTTGCCATGTTGGAAGCCATATAGTTGAACGATGGTAGCGCCCCCCTGTCATTGAGTTTGGTGGGACAGTTCAGCGTGGGTCATCTATAATTAGATTACTTTCATATAGTTTTTTTTTTCAGGATTAGAGTGATCTATGATATGTTTTTTTTTGTCTTAACTAGATTACTCCTTTTTGTTTTAATAGTTGTACTTTATTGTCGATGTGAAAGTGCAACTTATAACTAATTATTTCTTGATTTGATTATTGAGTGCAGACTAGTGAGCAGTTCACTGTGAGTGCTATTAATACAGGGTGGAAACGATAAGTGATCTCATTCGATTATTTCTAAACTTCACAAGATNATCGCTCTTGAATTTTCTCGAGTCAATTCCATTTTCTCAACGACTAAACAAGTTTGACAAGACCTTGTGATACGACCGAGAATCTTTTTTTAAATAAATAAATGGTATACGATTTTTAAAACCCTGGAGTTTGCAATTAAATAGATTTTAATATGACTGGAACAGTGGAAATATTCCATTCCCGATACTTTTAGTGCAGCCCTCGTACTCCAAAATTCCCATAACATTGGATATTTATAACATTATTTGTCTAATATCCTGTATTATTGTAAGTAACCTACTTGGATGAATTTTGGTGTATTGTGCCTTTGTAAGGGTAGGTTAAATGTTTGTGCCTTTTATTTTTCATGTCTACTATGTATTTTGTACCTGAAGCTTTTCATAGACGCTACTAGCCCCCTAATAGAAAACAATGCTTTATGTCCTTTTAGATTGTTAGAAGTTTGATAGGAGTGAAGCTCTTGGTAGTATAGGAACTTGTAGATGGATGTTTAATATCAACAAAGAACAATAATATACTTGTTTAGTCTCTTATAACTTTATATTATAACAGAACGTTTGATCTTGCAAACTTGATCTTGTGCACAAAGTATTTTCCTGAACAATTTAAATATTATAATGAAATCAAATTGATAATATTAAGTATGTAGATAATGAGTAATTATACAAGCTCAAATACTTTTTCTCTTTAACTTACAGTACAAACTAATTTAAAGTTATTTTAGTTTATGGGTATACTTTTTGAAATATTAAAGACAGACTACATGTTTTTTTTAAATAATATCATTATTTTTGGTGATATTACATAATGAATTTCTATGCATATCAAAATTCTTGTTAGAATTATTTGCTCTATTCATTTCTCGTATACAGTTCATTTGTTTATAATAAATCTATGTAAATAAATATTATAAATTAACTTGAAGCAAGGAATGTTTCTGTACTAAATAATGTATTGAATATTTGAAGCGAAAGCACTGCATTTATTGTGTATTTATATAATGTCCATTTACAATGTGATTTAGTCCAAAATTATGTATGATATAGATTTTTTAAAATCATGTGAGGCTAGTTTATTCAATATTTCACAGTTAACCAGTGTTATTAGTAGTGCGTTATATTTTACATTCCAAATGTTTGTGATGGTAATCATGGTTTGTTTTGAATAAAATATATTATAATGCATAAACAAACATATCTTTTTTCTTTTAATCCATTAAATTACTTTTTCAGATTTAATCTTCTGGCTGGCAAAACTTTGCTCCAGAATCAGGGTTCGAAAATATCCGATATTTATTATAAATATCAAAATATCGGATATTTATGATATATATCCGATATATATCAACTTTGATATATATCAATTTTGTATGAAAGCCATAGTATTATTTTATTGTATTATTCATGAATACTATTGCATATGTGTTACATAAACATGTTTTTAATGTTTTAAACCTTAAAATCAGACAAATAAAGCAAAAACATAAAATATCTTTAAAATACGGCAAAATAAACTAAAAAAATAAAAATCGTATGTCAAAAAGTACAAATACAGTGACAAATTTTAAAAGTTGATATATATCATCAAAACCGGCTTGATATATATCGGATATATATCCGATATATATCTTGATATATATCCCTTGATATATATCCTCGAACCCTGTCCAGAATATTTAGCAATTGTAATAGAAGAAAACTTATACAAGCTTATGGTCAATAATGATGGCAATAGCTCCCCCCAAGCCTAGTGAGTCTAGAATCTAGACTAGACATCTACTCTAGATGTAGAATGCAAAGTTCCAGTGATGAATAGACTGCTGTCCATAATCACAGGCTCACAGAATTGCACATGAACTGTACAGCAAACCAAGTACTTGAGAGCGATTAATGATTGTAAACAAATAATATTGTATATTAAAAAACTATCTTACTAGATATTTACTTTATACCTATCTGGAAGTTTAAATGGGATATCTCAATGTGGTGAAGTGGTGATCCTATTGTTTCTTTCCCATACAAGGTGATGGACTCAAAAGTAACATCTAGGAAAAGTCTGAAAACTAAATAATATGTAATTATTTATGCTAAATTTACAGTATACAAACTAAATGAAATTATTAGATATTGTAACAAGGAATAGTACTAATATGAAATGAAAAAGGTTATAGTTTTTTAACTTTTTTTATTAATCCCTTACATGTTAAAATTATTCTGTCTTGGCAGCTGCCGCCTTAGGTTTCTTCGCCTTGATGGGCCTCTGAGACCTGAGGATGGCAGACGCGCGACGAAGGGTAGCCTTGCAAAGGTCGGTGCGGTAGTGGTTGGCTTTCAGCAGTCTCTTTACCTTGAAGAGGGACCTCCTGGCGCCGGCTTTGAATGGCCGCCTAACAGTGTTCTTGGCGGGCTTGTGGGTTGCCTTAGCCTTTTTGTACACAACTGTGAATCCTTTCCTGTCCGGGTTCTCAACCACGCTGACGGCCTTCTTGTGGATCAAGCCATTGTATCGGTACGAGTTGAGGTTAGTCACATTGTTGGGCTCCTTGCTGAACGGCTTTTTGATGTTCTTCTTCTTGACGAGGAAGGCGTTGTTGTTACGAATGATCATCCAGTTGAGATGGGACGACATTTTTGTAGTTTTTACCGTAAAAACTACACTCAATACAACGTGCTCACGACGTGTCCGTAGACAAAAAGGAAGATGTCGCTAAATTATTTGTCTATGAATTTGACATTGTCAAAAACTGACGTTTAGTGTTGCTACACATATTACAAATTATTCCCTTTCATTCCATTTCGATTAAGCTATGCGATTAAGGGTTCTCCGTTCAATGAATTTTCTTATTTTTGTAGTCGAGTGTAATATAGTTATTTTTATAACATTGAAAAACTTGAGTCCATGAAAAATTAAAAGAACCAACTAACTTAACCGTGTTTCGTTTCAGCCAAATGACGTCCACTGCTGGACAAAGGCCTCCCGTGTTTATTTTGTCCAATAATTTTGTCAATATTTTAAATCAACATTGGAAGAAATTAAAGACTAGAATAACCATTGAATTAAAAGTACCTTGGGCCAAAATAACATGGACTTTATTCAATAGATAAAAAAAAGTTGATTGTGTGTTAAAAAAGTACAAAAATTGCTAAAACCGCTCAACATGACGTCACAAAATTAAAATTAAAGGCTAGGTCAAGGTGGAATATGAAGCATAGATAAGTACGCTCCATCACTATACATAATTTTAGTCCATACTTCATATCCACTACGAAAATTGACTTAGCCCACCTTAAGTATCAAAATATTTATAAATATGGACTTGACGAGCGTGTGCGTGGAATATGACGTGAATTGTGTGAGTGAGCCTACTAGCTCTCTCACACAATTCACGCAATCATGGTAGTAGGGCAAGCTAGTAAGCTTGCCCTACCCTACTACCACTTCGGGACAATAATATTATCTCAGTCACCTATAGTTATGATGATAGGTGATTAATGGGAAGAACAAGGAAGCCTTTTAATGTCTTAATAGTGATTAGTTTTCATCTGAAGAAAACAAAATGCATTACAAATTGTTTGTGTAACAGTGTGATTATGATTCAACATTGACATAGATAGACAGCATCTCACTTAATATTAGTGAGTGCTACTACTGATTACGCCACTCTTGTGGCGGAGTTTTGGGCTGACACTGTGTAGGTTTGTTGTCGACACGAAAAGAAGAAGAAGGTACGGTTGCGGTTAAATACCTGCATGTTCTGCATAAAACAAATTGGCTGAAAGATTGAACATCATTTCATTACTATCATGATGTACATTGTTATAGCTTTGTCAATATTTTGATCGGTAGTTGGACTACTTTCTTGCTCGAGGAACGTTAAAACTTTAATGGACAGAACTTGAAGTCTCTCGCCAAGGGATCATTCATTTCAAGATTTACAGTGGTCTAATTGACATAACTTTACCCTGGTTACTTTGTAAAATTTAAAGCTGTCAACACTTTCCATTAAATCATAGACAATTGAAAGAGTTTTTTTTTATTAGTTATCAATCAAACAAAAGTAGTAATAAGGTTGGGTTTTAACTAGATCTAACCGCGTGAAAATTAACAAAAATGTATAAAAGGCAATAGATTTTAGTATAAAGATATTTGCCGTAATTGTAAAAGGGTTATTTAATTTTTGAAACAGTAATTTTCTTTTGGGAACCATCTATAGGTTTGTCTATGGAAATTACCGTTGTTTCTTTCTTTTTTTTTGGCAGATTGCTTATGGCGATATGTCAAATTCCAAACTAAACTTGTCTGGGACAATTTCGTGTTGGTTCTACTAAAATAACATCTTTTTCTTTATATTTATACAGTATTCTTTATATTAAATGTAGTTCTTGTTTAAAATTCATATGTGATTTGTGTCAAGTGCCAAATTGATGTTTCGACATTACTGGTATTATGAATCAGGCTGATCAAAATATAAACAAAGATATGTTCGATTCTGATCTGATCGACGTGGAATCTTTGGATTTTTCCGATAACCAGACATGGTGAGTACAATTTAAGTTACTTAAAATGGCAGGAAATGGGTTATGTACCGTGATAAGTCCTAATTTTGGGTCACCTGTGAATGTCTCACGTTGGGTGGAAATGTCAGTTTTTCTATCAATAGTCGACTTGTAACTTGTTCCAATTAATCAACAAGTTGTATCATTTCCAGTCTGACCGGTATACAGTTGGATGTTGTCTTGACGCCTTTCAATGATTCATCTCAATAAAGACCCCAGACATGTCTATGCAGTTTTCCAATTGTCTAGTGCAAATTCACCCAGACCATTTACAGAATTTAAATTTCAAAATTCATACCTAATTACATATAGAATGCACATATTGGTGTTCAAATAATTATGCGCTTGTAACAATAATTTCCTGTTTAGCTTAGGAAATATTTTTCAACTTACTGAAGCTATATAGCTATATTCCTTCAGTTTAATATAATATGATTGCTTTGTAGCAGCTAATTTTATTGCTATTGTGATAAATGTGTTAAATAATTTATTAGTTACTAGTCTGGAACATATAATTTAACTACTTTTATTTATTGTTAAAATCAGTTGTTGGATATTAAATTGTGATTAACATAAAATTGTGTAACTTTTTTTTATATAAAAAGTTGTGTAACGCCTCAACGCGACTGCGACCGCTCTGCCAAGAGAGAAACAAATGAGAAGAAGAACTTTCCTGAGTAGATTAATATTTTTTCTTTTAGATACTCTTCCTATTTGTTTAATGTAGGTACAGTAATCACCAAAAAAAATATTCTAATAAGAAAACTTACATTATTTATTTTAAATTTTGTCAGTCAAAATCTATTTTTTATCAATTGCTCTGTGTAAAATGCTAAATTTTGCATTATAATATCTAGATGCACTTGATAAGGCTAATTTAGAACTTACAGATAGTGTTTATTGTTGATTACATATGAAAATACATAAACAACTGCATTGATATTACTCAATTTAAAAAGTAGATTTCAAAATTAAAAGTATAATTTTGATAATGGGCTTACATTTGTTATTGTTTACTTTTCTACATCCAAAATTATTAAAATACAGTTTTAAATTGTTATTTTTTGTAAAAATCAAAATCAAATATTGAAATTATTGGATTAGGAATAATTAACCCACAAATAAGTACAAAAAATATGTTAAGGAAATCATATTTGTTTACATAGTATTACAGATTACTACATTAATCAATCACAGTTTAATTGGATATAGCTAAATAATAATAACCTAGTTCATTTTAATTCTAGTTAGAAACATTGCTAAATCTTCTTGAATTCAAAATATCTGATTAAAATAGCCCTGAATTAGGCAATTTACTAAATAAACTGGATTTAGACCTACTTAAACATAGGTACCTACTTCATAATATCACATTGTATCCAGATAGAAAAACAAAGAATTGTTGTCAATCCAATTGACGTTCCCTGATCCAAACCCTTCACAGATAAATAAACGTCTTATGTGGAATTGTTATCAGTTTTTAAAAACTTAAAACATTGCATGCAGCCCCCTTGTCAATTCTAGATCCAGTTACCATTATTGAATGCATATTGACGGTGTATTATTTTTTCCCACAGGTTGTACACAGTCCCCAATGACTCTGGCAATAAGGTGGACATTGTGGATTGGAACCTGTCCTGCGACTGGCCCGGCAACGAAGACAATGATTACCAGCGGATGGAAAAGGAACTCAACACACTCCTCGATGATATACTTAAAAGTAAGTCTTTTTTGTCATAAACTTAGGCCTTGCTTCCACCAATTGGATTGAATAACCGATCAGATTTCATTCTCTAACAATGAAACCACTTCGCGTTGCTGGAAACCGGGCCTTAGCTATTCCTAATCTTACTAACATTATAAATGCGAAAGTTTGTGTGGATGTTTGTTACTCTTTCACGCAAAAACTACTGAACGGATTTTGATGAAACTTTACAGTATTATTGTTTATAACCCAGAATAACATATAGGCTATAATTTATGACGATCTATGACAAACTAAATTTCACACGGGTGAAGCCGCGGGCAAAAGCTAGTTTACTCATAATTTCATTGTATAAAATTAGATAGTCTCCACCATTAGAAACTGGCAGTTTTTTAAAGAAATAAAATCAAATTACTACAGCCTCGCTTCACCACTCATTATTATGTTTGAGTAACCGTCAAGGTCGTCTCAAAAACAAAAGAATCAATTCTTCTCATAAGTCAATGCGTGTAATTAAATAAAGTTTCAAACAAAGCCCCAATTAGCCAATCAGCTGCAGTTGTAGTGAAAATAATGATATGAGTATAACTACTGCAACTTTAAAGCTTCAAAAGTGGGTGTTAGTAGTGTATCTGAACTAGCCTTGCTACCTGTTTGAAAGCAGCTTAGTGCCCCCAGTTAGATTTGACTTTACCAACAAATGATTTGCCTATAGGGGCTTGAACCTAAGTAATAAAAAAAACTTAAACAATGTTCTTGTTTAATTGTAGATCCCAGCTTTACCTCTGTTATTATAAAAAAACAGTGGGTTAGGTAAGCACACGCCACCAACAATCCGGTATTGCGTGAGCTTCATAGTTCTGTTTCTTCCGATTTAGATTGTACTCGACACATCCTAGTCTACGGACGACGTCGTCATATCACACGACACTATGACTATGCATGGCATATTTATGTAGTTGTGGTGATAGATGCTATTTTTCAACAAAGTTGTGTCTCAATACGCTAAGAGTCCCTGCAAACTTTTTCTCAGCCGATAAATGGCAATGCCAGATTTTGTATGGAATTTCTTACAAAACTTGCGCGCAAAAAGCAAATCTAGTAGTATGTAAAATCATCAAACTTCTAATGCTCGTAACTCAGTTCATCAGACTGAATTTAGAGGTATACATGTCATATTAAGTTTGGTTTATTATACTATTTTGTAGCCAAAAAACATGGTTTGGTCGATGGCCGCGCGAAAAAAAAAGACGCCAATTTCCGGCATTGTCTTTTGATCGGCATATAATTTTTATGAGGAATCGGCCGATACCAAATCGTTGCAATGTGAGTTTCAATGCGTACTTTCATACTTGTTCAAACCGATTAACAGGCCGACCACATGAGCATCTTTACTTTACTTAGGTATATGACCGTACTAAACTATCGGCCGATAAAAAGTCTCTAGTCTGTAGAGAATCTTAATGTTCTTATTTCTTATCGATCACAGACTTCATATCGGGTCTGAAATCAATTGGGAACACCGCTATGATTCCATATTGGCTGCTGTGGTTTGTCTAGCTACTAGGCAAGCCAGCCATTTCATTCATGTTTTGTGAAATGCACATTACGAAAAGTGCCCCTTGTAAGAAATGCACCTTCTATGAAATGTACTATCGGCCACAGTAACAGACAGAACTCTCGCTCTCATTGAATGGTGATTCTTTGCGATAGAACGAGACGACATGACCAGAAATGTACACATAATAGGAAAGAAAAAAGGTAGCTAGAAGTGCTGGAACTGTGGCCGATAGTACATTTGCTCATTTTGCGAAGTGCGCATTCTGCATCAAACCCCCTACACAGTATGTGCTTATCCAAAGAGTATCACTACCCCAGAGGCCCAGACAGTAATCAATGGCTGATCTCCGACACCCGATACGCACCATGAGCTGGGGACAAAGATCGGATTACCAATACACCCACACATGTATACCTGGGAATGTGTGCAGTCGTCTGGAAATTCTTGTACATAAGTACAACAGACGACAGATCAGACTATACATTTTTATTGCAAAATCTCCATTATTACCAATACATAAGATGCCACATTGCTGTGTAGCCAGGATCTACAGCTTGACCACCAATAAAAAACCCAACCAGTGAAGTCAAGTTTGTCCCGGGGGAAAGTTAAACTGTCATTAGACCCGGAACGAAATAAATCAGAAGAACATACACAAAACATACAATACTTGTATTACAAGCGCTGTCCCTTTTGAAAAACACTCAAAATCAATATTGAGCTTTGCAATTATTGTCACTGGGACAAGTTAATCCTCAAACCAAATTTTCCTCATGCCGTCTCTGGGGAATGTTACCTTTAGCTAAATAACCAAACCGGACTTTATCTTTGCATTTAAGTAACATGTAAAAAGCTCTTATGTGCAGCAAACTGTAGTTTCGTCGGACTGTTAAACTTACCTTTACTTAAAAGTAAAACTTTGACATTCGAATATAATTTAAATAAATCATTGATGATTCATGTTTGGTTATTGTGTTACTAATCGATCAATCATAAAGATCATGCATCTATTTGTAAGCTGTAATTAAGCTTTTATTTTTAACGCAGTGTAACAACAAAAATAAATTCTGTTGCTGTACCTAAATAAATAAATAAATAAATTACTTGACAAAAATGCTTAGCCTCGCAAAATCGTGGCACTAGATCAATCGACTAACTGTGGTTAACTCTGAAGAAATAATTAGGCAAGAAAACAAAAACTACGTGAGATCTAGTTTGCTAGTTCTTATAATAGGCGTAACCTTTCATTCAGTTTCTGGCACGTCCCAGTCGTTTTCACTTAACGTAAAATGCTAAAAATAGTAACAAATATCGTCGTAAATGATATGTGATTGTCAATAATTAACACTTTGATTCATTCTACTAAATCATAACATAAAACAGCAGTGTTTCTTTTACAATAAATCGTGAAATAGGGGAACATTATATTTCCGAAAAGTCGCAATTTCTCTTCTACCGGATGATTTTTTTATTCCGCAAAGAAAATAATGTAGCATGCTAAGTAAGTTAAGTAGAATGCAATCATGTTGTTTTTATAAAATTAATGTAACTTAATTTTACTAATTACCTGCGTCAATAAAAAACTAACGCGGCTACGGAAATAAAAAGTTAAGAAAAACTGTAACCCAACTGTGAAATTATAATGTAGCCTGTTACGCCATATTAGAGAATCGATTGACACCTTATCAAAATCGGATGAATAGTTTATGAGCTACAGAGAAACTTACGTAAATAAAATCATACATACCTAGACTTCTGAAATTCCCTTCCTCCCCGAAAAAAATAAGATTTCTAATTTTTAGTCATGTTCCTATCATTTTCTTCATGTGTGTGTGTTTTGCTCTAGGCTTCTTATATGATAGTAATTTGACGACATCACAATCAAATTCTCATTAAGGTCTAGTCAATGCCTTATTATGAGTTATGAAACATGTCTCATCGTCTAGCCTGACAGACGTTTTAGTGGACTTGAAGAGATGTCAGAAAAAGGAATTACCTACATATTTTATAAACCCAAAGGTCTTAGTGCCAATAAGTAGAAGGTTTATATGTAGAGTCCACAAGATTAAGGCACTCGTTTCGTGGGTGTATAATGTGGGATTTATTCTTTTGTCTACGATTGCAACTGATTTAGAGTGGCGCCAAGTAGCTATCAGAACATGTTTGTGTCTTGGCCCTGTGCTCATGCACGGAGGCAATCGATGAGCACAGGAGAAATCGGGAGAATAAAATCAGTATTTTAATATAAAAGTTTCAATAACGAATACATAATACCGGTATAGTCGAAAGTTAATATTTTTTGGGGAAAAAGAAATCGGAAAGTTACGCCTGACTAATTAAACGGTTTAACGGTCCATTCGCGACTTATAAGGAGCTGATGGAGCTTACAAAGACATCCCACAAACATGACGCATTATACACAAACTGAACCGCAAAGAAAAAGGGTCGGTTAGAAAATCTTCAATATCTCAAAAGTACTGACTGTAGTTTTCTAGTAACTTTTATTTCATAAAGCTAGATAAAGTATTTTTGAAGATGTACAAAATTTTCCAACTGGCGCTTTTTCTTTGCGGTGTCCCAGTATACATTTGTTCGTATATCGACTTCCTAATGTAACTGATGACTCTCCCAACCCATTGATCGCTGCGCATGATTGTTCATTTGTCGATTATTCGATGGCCAGACGGCAGCCATTGTAGGTACGGCTCGATTCAATGTCAGCGAGGCAATTTTTCAATTACGTACATCCATTTGCCGTCGTGGGCATAGGAAACCTAGCTTGTTCTAAATCTCGAACGGTGAAGGTTTAATACGATATTGCTTCGATTTTCTTGTGAGAATACGGTAAAGTGATATTATACTTTCATTCATGATGATACATTCAACGCCAATATTCTCTGATTACAGAAAACTGCTTAGTTAAACTTCAGTTCTCCAAATAATATAATTTAGTCCCTATAAAAGGTATATTTATAGATAACAAGTGCGATGAGGTTTCGATGATAACTTATTATATGGAGTTCCCAAGTGACGAAGCCCGCAGATACATTTCACTAAAACGACGTGACTCACTCAACTTGACAAGGGTGAAGCTTACACATGTCACTCTATAAATGTACTCAAGTTTTAGTTATAAAAAGGTCGTTTTGTAAAATGTGATTGGTCTATAAAATGGGCAGAAAAGCTTTTATGGTTAATTAGGTCAATGCTGCCTTTTTAGATACTTGTTTGAATTAAACATGAAGACAAAACTGTACTTTTTCCTCAAAACCTATCTCAAATACAACCAAAGCAAGTATTCACTGAGGCGAATATAACACGAAGTCGCATAAATGCAAATTCCTTATATCGTAGAACTTCAGATATTTGCATCGGTATCCAGTTTCAACCCACTCTGCTTACGGTATTATGTCGGTTGCGTTGCGCATATTTCGTTTCGTATCACATCAAGTTTCCGCAACTCAGTAAAACATACGTGCACATTAGTATTCTCAACTCAGGAAGCAGGCGAGGAAGCGAGCTCGTTGCACGAGAATTCTCCCATAATACAGACGTCCTCGTCGATCCATTGATTGTATTGCTATAAACGTATAAACGCCACAAGAGCAATTATAAATTCCGTAGAGGATTAGAAACACTCGGAAACTGAACCGGGTACTTTATTCGTACCGCTTAGTGAAACTTCAATTGCATGTATGGATAGAGTCTACATTGTTAGACTTATCTCATCAGCAGGATACACTGTCCCACATTTAGTTGCCATAGCAAATATTAGCACCGTTGTGACGCCACTCTATCATGTTACGTTTGTTTATTGTAATGAAGACAATCCATATACATCAAGGAAAGTCACGCCCACGAGCCGATTGCCATTGGCGTTCGGAACTTGTTTCATAAACGGCGAGTTAGTTTCACTTTTTGCAACACCGAAAAAAGTTTTAAACTAATTGAGAATTTTTACGGCAGTGCGGTTATGCATTGTAGCATGTCATTGACGTCTATATTTTAGAACTTGGGATGATGTTACATAAATTATAGTTGCGGTATGAGGAAGTACGTTGATGGATGCAAAAACTGGCTGTCGAGTGTTGACTGTAATCAATGCATGCCGATGAAAGTTCGCAGAAGTGTATAAAGGCATGAGTGCACTGATCCATGTGAGGTCTTGTTGCGTTGTGGTTTAGATGAATTTCTATTGGCAATAGAGAGAAAAAAAGTCTTCTACTCAATTGCCGCTGTGGTCTAGTGGTTAGACCACCTGCTTCAGACGCAGAGGTCCCGGGTTCGATCCCCAGTGGGGGGAAGAATTTTCTGTTCGGTTTGGTTGGTGGTAGGGCTTGTTCCAAGTCCGCCTGGCTAGCTACCACCATCTTACCTAAGTCTGTCGCCATAACAACAATGTTAACAGCATTGTTGTGTTCCGGCAGTTAGAGGTAAGATAGCCAGTTCCTCTATGGTTGAGGATTCCGGGTGAAGCTCGCTTCCACCTTCGGCCTGATCATCACTTACCATCAGATAAGATACAGGCCAAGAGCTTCCTCGTTGTGGATAAAAAAAAAGTGTACCATGACCTTTTATGACAAGTCTTTTCGTTTATCACTGTGGCCCTTTTTGGGAACATCACAAGCGCGTGGGCCGAAGTAGGAAGGGAATTACCTATGGTCGGACGCACCGTGCATGGACAAGTAGCGCAATGAATCGTAATAAACGTTATTTACCGCTTTCTTTTCGTAAATTATGGCCGTCCAGATAATTGCTTTGAACAAGATAAGGAAATTGTATTAGGGTCAATACAACACTCATTCGTTATATCTTATCGTATCGTCTACGCATTTGTGTTTTGGCACAAAGATATTTTGGTCATAATCATCAAAATAAAAACACTAATGACACTAGTAATAATAGTCTCTCAAAGTCCTATTATCGCGTCACCGTCTTTCTTATTGTGTGCAATTTTATTGTCTTAAAACGTCTTACTTAGAAGTCTTCAAGCAATAATTTCATCATCATCATTCCCTAATAAGGCAGTGAAAGTACGTATAGGTCAAGACCAGCTTAATTGTTACAAAGTGAAAGACATTAAATGAGCATGTCATTATGAACACATGACACCAAACGTTTCATAACGATCATCGACCTGCCGATCAGGTGTCACCACCACCATAAACAATACGTATAACAGCTGTCAATACTGTCACCCAAGTTCCTGACGGAACCCAGCCGCAATGCATACCAATTGCAAATCGTTCACCAATTTGGGCGCCAATTACTTCAATGGCGTCGCCAACTGAATTTCGAACTCTTTATTTTGCATCACTCCATCTATAATTTCTTAACCCACCAAAATGCAACGTTTCACTCAAGCCATAAGGTGGAATTTCCTGTGGTGCGATTTGGTCAAGTTTTAGATGCGATTTTTCAAATGGGTTTGTTAACCTCTTCGCTCGGTTATCTGCCGCGACCGTCTCTAAAATTGGGACTGATGTAACGACGTGAATACTGAATACCTCAATGTAATTTGGATTAGGCAGGCTCTTCCAAATATGTAATAGGTTTCGGAATGTGATTTCAATTAATATTTTTAATTGCAGCTCCAAAATCGTAACGTAATAGAACTATTTATAGATAGTTTACCTAAATGTAATTTAAGTAAATTATATGCTCATCTTCTATCTTAAATTAATAAGAAATTCAATCAAGATGCTGTTCCCGTATTACTGGTTCCAACAGCATCCACCAGCTTCCGCTCATTTTCCTTATCTTAGTTACGTCTTCCTTGCCTTAATCCAAGTTAGGCCAGTGACCTTAAACTTGCTCTTGACAAAGCTCATTGTTTGATGCGCATACGTTTGAACCATAGGGTTAACAATTTCAATTTGTTCCAGATGAAGTCCTCTCAATGCCAGATAAGCACAAATTCGACTCCCGCACATACGTCAAGCCGAAGAAACGCGTCCAGCGTCCGTCTATACAGAGCATCGTCGAGGTTTCTTCCAACAACGCATCGCCGAACAACTCGCTGCATCAGTCCGCCAACAAATACCTGACGTACAACAAATACAGCATGCCTTTGGGGCCCATCAGTCCCATGCTGAGGCTGAAGACGTTCAATGTGGATACGAATACAGATAACAGTACGGCGGTCAAAGAGTACGCGATGAAGAGACGGAGTTTAGTACAAGATGACGATCCACAGGTATGTACCGATTCATCATCATTATTTCAGCCACAGGACGTCATCTACAGTATAGACGACAGCACGTTAGATGTTGCAAATATCGCTCTTAATACAACTGTCAGTGTTTACCTTCACGTGCCCTCGTCTGTACATTACGCCCGTATTCACAAACATCGCACAGGGTGACACGCGAACCAATCAGACAGCTCGATCGCTTCGATTTGCTGCTTCACTTAAGTTTAAGGATTTCTAGTTTGACTGGTTGGAAGCGCCCTGTATATGCACCGTTCGATGAGTCTTCCTTGTTATACAACTATACATGTTTGTTGCAAAATAATATAATATTCTACATAACAACCTTCATAAAATTGTGTTAAACTTGATGATCAATACCTTTAATCTGTACGTAATTGCTATTTGTCATCGACTGATAAAGAAATAATTAGATTTTCCCCCTCCTCTCTTGTTTTTATAAGGGTTAACGCTCCAACGATTGTCAACCTTCTTAGTCAGGTTCATGACTCAGTATTATTTATTTTCTCCGGTCCAGATTCAATATTATTACCCACTTTTTAAGATGTGTAAAGTTTTTAAGTAGATTTCTTTCCAGTTTAACAATCGGCTAATGCAGTGTAAGTAGTTTTCCAATAGCTTTTACAACCCCATTTTTCCCCATAAAAAAACTTTAGGATATTTTCGGAAATACTCGAACTATATATACATATATGAGAGTATGAGACTCATAAATCGATATGTCAACATTGTTTTACACAGTATTATTATTATTTACGGACTATTATTTGGGACAATCGAGTAATTGTTTTAAATAATAGTCAACATACAAATAATCAATCACGCAAAGTTTCATTACATTATGTAGGTACTAGTTAGATAGATGTAATACATCTATACTTAATAATAATTATTATAAAGTTGAAGAGTTTGTTTGTTCGCCATCTCAGGAACTACTGGTCCGAATTTTAAAATTATTTTTGTGTTAAATAGCCCATTTATCAATGAAGGTTTTAGGCTAAATAACGTCACCCTTACAGCCAATAGGGGCGGAGCAGTAAAGAAAAATGTTACAGAAAACGGAAAATGTTATTCAAAATATTTATTACACGCGTACGAAGTCGTTACACAGCTACTGTAGTATATTTTGTTAACATTATGATATGAAACAATGTAGGAAGCGTAGCCCAATTATTATTATGTACCAACTATTAGTCATAACTCAGAATTATCTAGGATGGCGGCAAGTGTCTAGAATGCAATGCAAGTTGCCAAAATTACAGCTTTAAGGGGATGATTCATTCTTTGGCGAGCCTTGAAACTATATGATCATTTCTTCTTGTATTTCTTGATTTAAACAATTTGACGTCGAAACTAATTCTAGAGAAGAAACATAGAGTTACATAATTCAAGTGGGCTGGTGTTTCGCGTATATGACCACGAAACCAGTCTAGTAGTGGATTCGAATCTCTACAGAGTCAAAATAGCATGATAAAAAGCATCTGGGGCAAAAGTAGCTGACGCCCGTATTCACAAACGATGCTTGCTTAAGTGAAGCAGCAAATCGAACGCACAGCGTTGAATAGAGCTCTGTGGCTCTGTCATTCGTTCGTGTATCACCCTGTGCGTCCACGCGCACTGTGAGACCTCATAGTAATGTTTGTGAATACGGGCGTTAGTTTCTTCAGCCACTTCTCAGCACTAGCCCATATGTTGTCCCGAAGTAGTGACTGGGCAAGCTATTTGTATTTGGGACGTTTATAAGCGCCCTGGAAAGGGCCTAAACTGAATAAAAAACTTTGGCAATTTATATTTATTGTAGTATTATTATTATTTACTAGCTTTCCGCCCGCGGCTTCGCCCACGTGGAATTTTGTCTATCACATAAAAAAACTTTATCGCGCGCGTCCCTGTTTCAAAACCGGGATTAAAACTATCCTATGTCCTTTCCCGGGACTCGAAACTATCTCTACGCCAAATTTCATCAAAATCGGTTCAGTGGTTTAGGCGTGAAAGCAAGACAGACAGACAGAGTTACTTTCGCATTTATAATATTAGTATAGATTATTTATTATGTATTTTTATACGTTGACTGGTAGATGTAAAAAACCTTTAATTTTCTATTAATATTGAATTAAAATGAACAACGTCAATATTAAATCTAGAAAAGAAGCATGAGTAATATTATTTAAGTAGGTTACACGACTGTACTAATGTTACCTCTCACAAACTGTGCGAACGGTTATGTAAAAGTTAACAATAAAGGTTAGCGTGACCGTGAAATGATGTTGCATAATTAGATATTATTTACACAATAAAATACATTCCTACTTCTTTCATTAATAGTCTTATTTAATGTATGTCACGTATGTATAATTGTTGTTCGAATGCGCACCATGCTATACATTTGGGTGGCAAAATGACACTTATGACAACTGCCTAAGGTACACCAGTATTTAACTTCACGCGCTATATGTAGTGTGACGCACACAAGTGAGCATATAGGCCACATTACTTTAGTTACAAAATATACACAAACAAGTTATTTACTAACTAAGCGTCGCATGTGATTGTCGTTTAATAATGCAACCTTTTTCCTAAGAAATAAGTATTGTTTTAACTTGTAATTGTAGTTAAATGTTTACTAACAGCAGTATATTTTTTTAAATAAAGATAAACGATGCTACTATGATTTATTGTAATAGGAAGTGACTTAATTTTCTACTCGTCAGTTTTTAACATCGGTAATATTAGCAGATACTGCATTGAAATTTGAAATTGTAGAGACGATGGTATTTTAACTTTACAGTAGCATTTGCTTTTCCTTATACAATTAAAATATTTTGTTTTTTAATTTATATTATTACAAATTGCTTTCTTACGACTTCGTGAGTCGATATTTTTTAAAATCAAACAGTGTAAAATGTAAATAATCGTATAAAACAAGGAGTATTGCCAGTATTGTTCTTTTTATTGACGCATGCTTGGCTGAGTGTTTACATAGGTGCATAAAAAGCACCCGACTATGTAAATGTTGTGTGAATGCTGTAATAAACTACATTTTAACGGTTAGCAAACGTATGTTACTTTAGCACTTGTTCTTGTAGCAAGATTACCGAAATAAAATTAATATCCTCAACTTATGAAGGATGGAAATAATGGAATGTAGTCTATCAAAAGCTGTGACCGCGACTTCGTACGCGTGAAAATAGTTTGAATATTTTTCATGTTTTTGCGATATTTTTCATCGTTGCTATTGCTCTTAACGTGATATTTTATAGCTTTCCTCGATAAACGGACTATCTAACACAAAAAGGTTTTTTCAACCAGTAGTCTTGACATTAGGGCGTTTAACCAAACAAACTCTTCAGTTTTATATTAGTGTGATCAACTCAAACATCGCACAAAGATTTCGGAAACTTGTGATTCATGCGTATTCGATTAGATAATTTGCATTTATGATTTATAAAACACAGAACATAGCCAGGGCGGCCCGTTAGTAATTTCATAAATAAACACCAAATTACCCGTAAATCACCTTTTCTGGTTATTGTTTTCAATTAACATTCTTTATCTATCAGTTGCATAACGATATGATTTGAAAGTAACGAAATGATGAGGAACTCTCACTCGAAAGTTTAGTCGATATTTTCTCTCTCTACCCAAACATTGAACGCCATCTTTTCGCTTAGTGAACCTTTTTTTTCGAGTCAAAACCAGAGAAACATGTACAGTTAGCAATCAACCAACCTGCCTTTTCTTTATCCATTTTGAGTTGTAAACTAAAGATACAAAGTCCAAAATACATCGTTGGATTGATGTACAACCCGAATTCATTAATCAATTGGGAAAATTTAGTCTCACGGTAAAATACAGAGGTATTCAGTCTTAAAACTTATGGGAACTTCATTAACAAGGTTTTATAAACTCTACCTTTGTTCTAATATTCTAATCTAAAAAAAAATAAGAATAGACGGTAACATACTATTGTTTTTCTTCACCATTAACCGTAGCTTTGCCCGTGTCAAATGTTTTGTAATGTAGCATGTATTTTAGAAGAACTAACCGTATTGTGCACCATGGATGCAAGCCGCCACCAACCGGCCATTGTGGAAATCATTGGGGGGGCCTGTGTTCAGCAGTGGACGTCCTATGGCTGAAATGATGATGATGATGATGACCCGTATTGTGTAACTACCACATCTCACATTTTGGTATTACTTTGAGTACGTTCGAGAAAGAATCTATGATGTAGAAGAAACGTTAAATGGAACACTAGGGAATGCAATGTCAATGAGAACATCCATTATGGCTTGTGACGTCATAATCCCACACCCTGATCGCGCCCGCCCTATATTTCATTACGAGGCAGTCCGTGACGTAATACAGTGCAATATTGTCTTCAGTCCACGGTCCATTGGCCTTGCCCGCGGTTGATTAGCCGGTAATCTGTCTGTGTAGCTTAGTTTTTGTCTAACGTTCACAATTAGGCTTTATTTCAACCCGCTTGTCTCACTTGATTGGTGTGCAAATAGATGATGGCTGTATTAGGTTCGTCAGACTTACAAACTCTTTTTTTGTTATAAGTTCAGACAGAAATCGACGCTGCTCTATAACATGAAAACAAATAAAGCTTACTTAATCACACATAATATGCATTCGACTAAACTTAATGAACTTTGGTTTTCCTTAGATAATTTATTAATACAACAATTAAATTTTTTATGAACTATCTTTCTACTTACTTTTCTCAGTGCTATTCTGCAATACGGAATCAAAACCTAATTAGAGAGACTATGTTCCCAGGGGAAATAAATATGTAATAAACTCCGTTCCCGCGTCTAGTAGAAGTCACGTCCCTATCTCATGTACGAGATTAACCTTCAGTTCAAATATACTTCACCAAGTTATGTTTTTCCAGTTGGAAGACTTAGACGTGACGCTGGCGTCCGAGGTTTCGGACCGGCTGTCGTCGGAGCACCTGCCGTCCAAACCGATCAACATAGACCTGTCACAACCGGCGCACAACCTGCACAATACATTCAACAAGTAAGTACATGATAACACGTTCGTTAGTTTCAGCCGAAAGACGTCCACTGCTGGGCAAAGGCCTCCCCCAAGGCTTTCCACAAAGAACGGTCCTGCGCCGCTCGCATCCATTCACCTCCCGCGACCCTCACCAGATCGTCGGTCCACCTAGTGGGAGGCCTGCTCAAGCTACGTCTTCCGGCTTGTGGTCGCCACTCAAGAACTTTCCTGCCCCAGCGGCCATCAGGTCTACGAGCTATGTGCCCCGCCCACTGCCACTTGATTTTAGCGATGCGGGCTATGTCAGTCACTCTGGATCTCCTTATTTCTGATTCGATCACGCAGGGAAACTCCGAGCATAGCACGATTATATCCTTTTTGATCACTCCGAAAATCGAATCTCTTCACGGAGCGACGTAACTAAAAGACGCCGGAGCGAAAGCCTTTCGAAATTACAATTGTCACGTTTTGCCACTTGTCTAGTGGGGCAGGTTATTTAGTCGCAACTACAGGAACGAACGAACAGGAACTGAGGAGTTAAGTTTATTTATCCGTTATTCGCCTTTTTACGACATCCACTGGAGGGGTGGGGGTGGTCCTATTCTTCTCTACCGTAACCACACGGTATCCGAAATCCATGTAAATAAATAAACGAAATTTCGGTACCTTACTTAGTCCCATCCCATTATTTCCATGGTAAAGTTCTCTTCACGCTTTACAACACAGGTTTATGTTCTGCTAAACGATGATAATGATGATGAATGATGATAAAATTCTCTAATGGTTAAAAATGGCTTAATTTATCTAGTCGATTCAATGCTACTGCAGACGCACAATAACTTTTAGATGTAGCTTAATCTAATCTAATTCACAGATGAGTCGTTACATTATATTTTGTGAATGAACGAGCGTCAGTCACCGGACAATAGTAATTGAATGCTGACTGTCAAAATAAAAAGACAACCGCGTTGCCGCCTTTCTTGTCAATCATCTCGAATGACTCCGCATGTACTAAGTAGATGATACACGAGAAAGTGTATGGCTTTGCTAAAAATAGTACAACACTTTCTAATTCGTCAACATCTGATAGACGATTATCCACGCGATCAGCTCCAACACAATGTTGTTATACATACATCTTAATAATGTAGACTAATGAATTTCCTCGTCTAAAATAATGTCTTATTGATAAAAAATTTACGTGCACGCTACGTAATCGCTGTTATTTAAACTAATTGCTATTTACATATTGTAGTGTGTACTCATTGTAATTACATACGTCGTTGCAAATCCATCAGCGTGGTAGTTGTACAAATCAATCGTTAAACTCGTGTCAGGTATTCTAAACGAGTAAACTCAATTAACGTTCAGTTGGTATTACTTCCATAAAAATAGGACATTGGTGTTACAATTTGCATTAACTTTAATCTTTGAATGCAAGCAAACATGTAGAAAAGACAATGTCTATACCGTTTTAGTAATCAAATAAGATTTTATTTGTGTAAAAAAATTCTTCGTCGAAGGACCGTTTAGTTAGCATCTTTACTGGGACTTTTGATGCTCAGTTCAGTTAATAAACACATTTAGGCCAAAAGAAGACATGAATAATACTGTCCTTACCTTATTATTAGTTTGTAACCAGCAGATAATATTGACATTATCTATTTTCAGCCCTGTCTGTATTCTTTCTTACAATGAAAAAATAGTGTTCAAATGAACTTCTCTTATTTCCTCAGAGGTCTAACAAACATGATGAACGAGCGCGGCAGTCTGAACATGTACCAAAGCGGCGAGTCGCTGATGAGGATGTCTCCGCCGAGCCTGGTGTCCTCTCTGCTTATGGAGAGCTCGGGCACCTTCAACCCCGAGTCTCTGGACAGCAGGAAGTCTATCACCTCGCACAGGGACTCTGGTAAGTCTATCACCTCGCACAGGGACTCCGGTAAGTTTTATCACCTCGCACATGGACTCTGGTGAGTCTATCACCTCGCACAGGGACTCTGGTAAGTCTATCACCTGGCACAGGGACTCTGGTAAGTCTATCACCTGGCACAGGGACTCTGGTAAGTCTATCACCTGGCACAGGGACTCTGGTAAGTCTATCACCTGGCACAGGGACTCTGGTAAGTCTATCACCTCGCACAGGGACTCTGGTAAGTCTATCACCTCGCACAGGGACTCTGGTAAGTCTATCACCTGGCACAGGGACTCTGGTAAGTCTATCACCTCGCACAGGGACTCTGGTAAGTCTATCACCTCGCACAGGGACTCTGGTTAGTCTTATCACCTCGCACAGGGACTCTGGTAAGTCTGAACATGTACCAAAGCGGCGAGTCGCTGATGAGGATGTCTCCGCCGAGCCTGGTGTCCTCTCTGCTCATGGAGAGCTCCGGCACCTTCAACCCCGAGTCTCTGGACAGCAGGAAGTCTATCACCTCGCACAGGGACTCTGGTAAGTCTGAACATGTACCAAAGCGGCGAGTCGCTGATGAGGATGTCTCCGCCGAGCCTGGTGTCCTCTCTGCTCATGGAGAGCTCCGGCACCTTCAACCCCGAGTCTCTGGACAGCAGGAAGTCTATCACCTCGCACAGGGACTCTGGTGAGTCTCACCTCGCACAGGGACTCTGGTAAGTCTTATCTCCTCGCACTGGGACTCTGGTATGTCTGTCACCTCGCACAGGGACTCTGGTAAGTCCATCACCTCGCACAGGAATTCTGGTAAGCCTATCACCTCGCACAGGGACTCTGGTAAGTCTGAACATGTACCAAAGCGGCGAGTCGCTGATGAGGATGTCTCCGCCGAGCCTGGTGTTCTCTCTGCTCATGGAGAGCTCCGGCACCTTCAACCCCGAGTCTCTGGACAGCAGGAAGTCTATCACCTCGCATAGGGACTCTGGTAAGTCTTGAAAATAACATGGAGAATGTGATTTTTGTAAAAGACATCCCAACTGGTAGTTTAGAACCAACAGCGTCTTCTTACGAATGATAATGTTAGACAATTTTGGCAGTTTTGATTAGAAAGTGGCGCTACGAGTAATAACACCTAATGTAGGTACGCACGTGCTCCTCTCTTGAAAATTACTTTGTAATCGTTTCAAATTATAGTCTCTTGCTTGACCAGTTGAAAATTAAATTACCATAACCTACCTCTACCTCATAAGTAATGATGAAATAGATGTTTAATGTTTATATTTCTACAGGTATTCCACCGTCCGGTCGCGACAGCATCGATCCCATGATGACGAGTATGACCTTAAGTATTCTAGACGAAAAGGACATGAGCACAAGTTTCCTCTCACAAACCACGTACCCAGACAACGATAGTTTGATGGACTCCCTCCCGCCTAGCCTCGTCAGCTCCGTCAACTCTTCCTACGTCGTCTCCAACACGTCCAAGCCCAAAACAGACACTCCGGATTCCAACATCTTCAGTTCGGCCACGTTCACACACCTGGAACAATCAGAAAAACTCCTCTCAGCCAGACCAAGGTGCCAACTCTTCAACAGCTTCACAAGACGAGAATCGGGCCTAAGAAATTCGGAAAGCTACACAAAATCACGAGAGGAAGCCTGCCAAATAGACACGAGCAAAGTCCTCAATGAAAACTGCGACAACAAAGACTCGCCCAAAACGATTCCGAAGTCGAGTCCCGATATGACGGAGACGATAACGCTGCACTACTCCAACACAAAGTTCAGACGAAACAACGATTCTGAAAAGGAGAACTTGAATGCGACTTTCGAACAGGACGACGCGTTCTACAAAGATATGGGCATGCAGAGGACGGTTGATCTGGGCAAAAACAGTCTGAACGTCACGCTCGATAAACAGGAGTTGAACGAGATAATTCAGGCGCGACAAAAGATATCTTTAGCTCGGAAGGCGTTGCCGACGGAGCCGGATAAGCTTCCGAATCAGCCGGACCCATCGCCGATAAAGACGATTCAGCTGCCGAATCAGACGATCACAGTGCCAAGACAGAGTATGGAGAATGCGTCAGAGCTATTGTCGAGGCGGAGAGTGGTGAATGGGGGCTTTGACAGACACGAGGAGCCGCCGGCGAGGGAGACTCCCAAACGGAACGCGACCTTCAAGAAAGCATCTCCGAAGATGAGCTCGATGGATACGACAGTGGTGTATGTGAAGGCTGAAGAACCGAACCAGATGATCGACATCAATTCGGCGACCTTGAACCTGATCGATGCGAGCGAAAGGACGCTGCAGCAAGAGGTAACATTTCATTCTTATGCTGAGTTGCACCACCTAACTTTAACGGTGACTATTACGATAACCGGAACTTTTTGTATTAACTTTGAGAGATTTTTGACTTTAGTCAAAGTTAAAGTAAGATAGTGCAACCCAGCCTTACTCTTTAATTTCTTGATATGCTATTCCTATTGACTGTCAAACAAAACAAACAAATCTCTTCATACGTGAAATATTGCAATAGGATGTTAGTTTCACACTTGTGCAGTGTGTGAAATATACCTAGTACATGCTTTAAGCATTATGTAGTGACATTTTGGTAGATACTGCTTAAATTATAGTGAAATTGTTCGTTTGTTTCTAAAGGTCTTGACAGACAGAAAGTGTTGTCAGGTGTTAAATTCACGTAACGCGTTGATACATTTTCATACACGCGAGTATTTCGATAATGCGATTTGAATTTCACGCTCAGACACGATTTCTGCAGATAACTTTATTTTGCATACTGAATTGCAATGCAATAGGCTATTTGACACCACCAATCAATTGACGTACTTTTTAATACGAGACTCTCCCATAGATTTTGTATGGTAATTCAAACAAGCGACATCACTATTTTGTCAATTTAATTGAACTACTTTTTTCAATTAAAATGCAACCAAAATTCTTAATTTACAGTAAATTTTAAATTAATTAAGTTTTTAAGACCAGAATGCAGTGTCTTTTAAAAAAAAGTTTTATTTTAAATTATTCAGCAATGGTGTCAAATAAAGCCTGGTCCGTGAGCACGTAGAATTTTGTCCAATGACCCCAAGCTACCCATCCTTATCGCTCGCGCGTAATTATATTGCTGTCGCGACTGTGCGACGCGCGCCCGCAGTGAGTGTGCGAGCGAGACAGCAATATAATTACGCGCGAGCGATAAGGATGGGTAGCTTGGGGTCATTGGACAAAATTCTACGTGCTCACGGACCAGGCTTTAGTATATTCAAATAACATACTAACGTTGAATATTTAATCAGTGTTAATTTATTTTTGCACAGGAATGGGGTTCCCAGGAGCGCGCGATGGTGGGTTCAAGTGAGAGCACAGACACGGGCACGTTCAGTTCATCCAGTCCGCCTGATAGCGTGCCAGACACCGCCGCTCATGACCCTCGTAAGTGTCAATGTCAAATAATAGTGACAGGATGTCAAAGGGGCGGGGCAATCGATAGAATGACATGTGAACAACTTTTCACGTAACGTTTGGAGTCGCATCTCAAACTAAATTATAAATACCCGCGCGCTTAAAGATCGTGGTTTCGATTTCCGCCTTAGACAGTTCGATTTTTTCAGTTATCCATAACTTTTCACATCACAAGAAGTCAAAGAATTTGTGAATATCGTCTGATTACATTGTGAATTCAGAACACATATATTAAACATCGAATACACTAGCTACCTCGCTCTTGCTAAATGTGTGCAAGCGAGATAGAAAACACTTATCAGTCTGACTACGCAAGAAGTAAGCGCGGCGAGCGTATACAGATACAAATCTTTGCAAATGTGCGCGACTTATAACACAGAAATTGCGACAAATAAGAACTTAAATGAAAATGTTCACATATCATTACTGTTATTGTTCGATAATGGGAATTGGGAGTTAGGTGTGGTAAAAGGGGAAAATGGGTATTTTATAAGATTGTCATTGGGCCATGAAAACGGGTTCGCCTGCTTTATTATCACTGAACACAATGTACTCGTGGTTAATGTTTTTGTGTCAATTTAATGACGTTTTTCAGAAACCAGAATATTTTTTTTAATAAGAAGCCACTGTGAGTGTTATAAATAACGAATTCGCTCAGTCTGGCAAGGCTCCTAAATCGTCGCACTTAAGACAAGGCAATAAGGTTCCAAATGTTGTAACTTAATATTCACTTAACTTCTTATCATCAACAGCCCTTTACAGTCCACTGCTGGACTATGAGCCTCCTCCACTATAGTGGAGGGTTTTGCCATAATCTCCACGCTTGGCAGGCGGGTTGGAGATCCCAGTTTAAAAGATTGATGTTTTTCAGAGAGCGCTGCTGCCTTCTTATATGCCGACTTAATCAAGAGTTCATAACACTCTTGGATCAGTGAATAATAAATAAAAAATATCGTATTGGTGTAACTAACATAACTCACTTGTCCTCAAAATAGGCGTACATGAACTAAAATAAATTGCAGGCGCACAAATAGCTTCCACCCCTCTAATGACACTGAAGAAGGGATCCAAGAACGACCTGCTAAACCTGCACAGCACGATATCCCCCATATACGATATGATCGACGACAAATCCTACACCTTGACCAAGGTAGCGAGCACAAACTCCTCAGGGATGGAGAGAACTTATGACATGCACAATACCACGGTCATAAACAGTGCCACAATGGTCAAGAAGTCGTCGGCCAAAAGGGATATATTAGCATCGAAGACTAGTCCTGAAAAGAAGATCCTGGGACCTACTCCTCAAAGGTCACCGCCTAGTAGAATGTCTCCAACGCATGCAGGTAAGAAAAGACAATGCCGGAAATTGGCGTCTTTTTTTTTCGCGCGGCCATCGACCAAATCATGTTTTTTAGATACAAAATAGTGTAATAAACCAAACTTACTATGACATGTATACCTCTAAACTCAGTCTGAACTGAGTTACGAGCATTAGAAGTTTGATGATTTACATACTAAATTTGCTTTTTGCGCGCAAGTTTTGTAAGAAATTGCAACAAAATAGTGACATTGTATGTGTAAACAAACAATACCATCCATTAAAGGCTCCAGACATTCAGTGTGGAGTAGAATCAGCGCAATAAGAAAATATCGCAATATTTTGTTGCAATTTCTTACAAAACTTGCGCGCAAAAAGCAAATCTAGTATGTAAATCATCAAACTTCTAATGCTCGTAACTCAGTTCAGACTGAGTTTAGAAGTATACATGCCATAGTAAGTTTGGTTTATTATATAATCTATATATATAAAAATGAAACCCGTTTCGCGTTGTCACGGCATCACGTGTGAACGGCTGAACCGATTTCGATAATTCTTTTTTTTAAATGTTTGTGGAAGTCCAAGGATGGTTCTTACGGAAAAAAATATTAAGAAAATCTCTACGCTAAGGCGGTACGAAGTTCGCCGGGTCAGCTATTTTGTAATAAAAAAACAGAGTTTGGTCGATGGCCGCGCGAAAAAAAAAAGACGCCACCTTCCATACAAAATCTGGCATTGCCATTTGAGAGTTTGTGTGCGTGTGACTTTTAAGGCTTGCGCAGACGAAGGACTTTTGTCCACAGAGGACATTTTATATTGAAGGACAAAAAAGTTTCTCGTTAATAGTCTCTCGTCTGCTCAGACCTTTATAAAAGCGTGCAAATAACGTGTGTGGACATTTCGTGGGTTTGATCAGTGTAAAACTGGTAATACGTATTGTTTATGGTTGTATAACGATTGTTTGTTTACTTACTGTAACTTTTGTTTTTAGGGTTTTGTTGTGTGGGGTGTTGCACAAAATCGAACATTATCAATGTGAATACTCATTACTTTCGTCCATACATACCATTGCTATTCATCAATTTATATTTTCTTAGAATCATATTCAAGCTAAGTTTATTTATTTCCCAAATTCGTGTATAAAAACTACGACCTTTAGAAAGAGACCCAGATAAAAAAGACTTTCTTATAAGCCATAGTATGACAGCTTATAAGCCTAATAGCACCTAATAAAAATAAATAAGATGCCAAAGTATTTAGCTCGTTAAGCTGTCTTTACTAACATAATATCAATGGCTTGTCAGTCACATACAGCAAAAACTAAAACAGATCTAACGAAACTTCTAAATGTCGTTGTTTATGAAACTAGTTGTGCATCCGCATAGCAATGTCCGCACAACAACACAACATTAACATACAACCGGATCGAGTTAACTGCGTACTTGGCGGCTGTGACGTCACATCGACGCTCTATTACGGACGGGGCGAATACGGGGAGGAGTGCGGGTAAGTGGGAGGGAGAGTCGCATTCTAACGAGGTGCACAGTTAGCAGAAGCAAGATTCTGTGGAGGCCACATACTGGGTAACGCAACGCGCATCTTATAAAGCTTGCAGGAATGCGTTGTATGCAGGCTGCTACCGACCGGGTGATATGGAAATCATTGGGGGACGCCTATGTTCAGCAGTGGACGTCATGTGGCTGAAATGATGATGAACTACACGCGTTCGTTTCGTTTCAGCCAAATGACGTCCACTGCTGGACAAAGGCCTCCCCCAAGATTTTCTACAATGAACGGTTCTGCGCTGTCCGCATCCAGGCTCTTCCAGTGACCTTTACCAGATCGTCGGTCCACCTAGTAGGAGGCCTGCCTACGCTACGTCTTCCAGTCCGTGGTCGCCACTCGAGAACTTTTCTGCCCCAACGGCCATCGTCACTACGACCTAAGTGCCCTGCCAACTGCCACTTGATTTTAGCAATTCTGCGAGCTATGCCGGTCACTTTGGTTCTCCTGCGGTTCTCCTCATTTCTGATTCGATTCGACACGCCAAGAAGAAGAATGATGACGATGATGATGCACAGTTAACTCGATCAGGTTCTGCGCTTACCCAGCTTGGTTAACGCTTCGCACGTAGTCTCACCCTTTGTATGTTGCAGGGTCATACGGCATGGCGCCTCCCACCGCGGTCCCTAGGAAGACCGGTTTGCCAACGTCGAAGCTTAGGCAATACAGTTCGCATAGGGAGCTTAGCAGGATACCTGGTGAGCTAGCACGCGTTTGATAACAGTTTGCTGGGCTTGGGCTAAGGTCACATTCGTGGGTGATAGTGGTGGGTTAGGAGTTTGAGCACTAACTTTGGCAGTGGTTGCAAATGTGTGTGATGCCATATAGGTCAGTTTTGCTTAGGAAAACTCGATAGTTATTAAGATAACTATTTTCTTCTACAAAGATGGAAGAAGGTAGTATAACATTTTAAACTTTTTATAAAATTTCAACTGAAATAGAGAAACACGGGTCTCAACGCTAGTCTGCTTGTGATCACTGCTGCAACAAGCAGCCGAAACGTCAAGCCGTGAGTACATAATTATGTAATTCGTATAAAAAATGACGAGTTGAGACCCGTGTTTCTCAATTTTAGATGAAAAAGTTGCAAAGGCTATTATGTAACTAGCTGCGAGTTTTTCGCATGTTGAGAGAGTACAGTTTAAAAAATATTATACTGGCATCAAATCAAATCAAATCATTTATTTGTAAAACATAGGTAAATGTAGAATTCAGGTGGTACATAATAATGGGTAGAGCTCTATGTTTGGCCTATGTTGGTATCAATATTGGATGCACTGCATAGATAAGAGAGCAACTTTTAGCAACACTCGACGCTTCGGGCAATATAATCTCCTATCCTAGTTAGACTATAAACGACTTCCTGGTATCACCACTAATGACCCTCTAATGTGGCCTTAGCTTTACAGTTGATTGACACTAATGCACGGGACTTAACAATGAGACGACAGCGAGGAAGTGACGTACTACAATCCGTAATAAACTAGTTCTAACGGACTAGTTATTACAATTTAAGTGACTTTTGGCTGATTTACACGTATTAAGTAGTTAAGTTGGTAACTCAATTTTAACTTAATTTTAAGTCTATGTCCAAATGTCAAGTTCTTGTGTACTATGAAACTGCTTGTCAATATGTGTCAAATGACAAGCCCCACCCGCCAACTTACCCGAAAAATTAAGTTAAAATTTAGTTACCTTCATAACTACTTAATACGTGTAAATCAGTCACTACGGACTAGTTATTACAATCTATTTATGTGAGGTACAGTCAGCGTCAAGTACGTGACACCCAAAGTAGCCGAAAAAATGCCAAGCCAATTGGAATAAGGTTGTTTTGTCAACTTATTGGCCAATTTGGGTGTCACGAACTATTTGAAGCTGGCTGTACAAGAATATATGTATATCTTTTGCAGATAGTCAACTGTTATTTACTATTTTAAGATCGATTTAATCTGATTCCTAGTGGCGGTTTTCCGTATCATCATGATGTAGATAGTTATGATGCACTATTATGTTTAGGTTGCCGTCACCCTCTTTTATTTGTCACGTAGAATGCATTTATAATCAGCACACTTCTTTCACTCACTAAGACGGGATTTTGCAAAATTCAACCCCTTAAGGGGTAAAACGGGTCCACGCGTACGAAGTTGCGGGCGGCCGCTCTAGTATAAACTAAACGCAGTGGACTTACTTTAGTAGTGCAGTGGGTTTCAGGATTATGTAGGCCTGATATTAGCATGTTTTGTTCAGGAATAGGGCAACATTGAATAAAATAATAATAGACGTATTGACACCACCAATCAATTGACGTACTTTTTTAAACTGTCAAAACGAGACTCCCATTGATTTCGTATGGCAACACAAGCAAGTGACGTCACTATTTTATCAACTCAAATAAACTACTTTTTCCAGTTGCAATGCAACCAAAAATCTTAATTTACAGGTAATTTCAAATTAGTTAAGTTTTTAAGACCAGTGATGGCCAATGAAGTGTGAAATGGGTTCTAGTATTAATTAGTATTTTTGAATTAATTTAACTTTAATTTTAAATTTTTCACTTATAAAATTTTCATTTGTAAAATATTATAAAGTGTACTTATTTATTTATTTTGTTCTATCCACACTAAACGCATTAAATTAAATTTGCCTACCTACTGTAATATTGTTATGGAAGAGCGGTGCTTCCTAGCACAAGTATCATCTGTTGCTTAACAGGAAGCTCCAACAACTTGTAACTGAACTAGGCTAAGTTAAAGAAATAAACGAATTTGAATTTGAAGTGTATTCTTAAAAAAGTTGTAATTTGAAATATTGGGGAATGGAGTCAAATAGTCCATTTGCTATTCTCAGGCAATCCCACGCCGCTGTCCCGCACGGCGGTGACGCGAGGGACGGGCGGGATGGCACGGCGCGGCGTGTACGCGTCCAACCCGGCGCTCAGCCCCACCGCGCCCGCGCCGCCGCTGCGCCGGGACTCCTACACGCTCGCCGCCGAGCCGCAGGTGGGACACAGGTCGCAGCGGGCTCCAGGCAGCCAGGCGTCCCGCGCCGCTGTCCCGCGCGGCGTGACGCGTCCAACCCGGCGCTCAGCCCCACCGCGCCCGCGCCGCCGCTGCGCCGGGACTCCTACACGCTCGCCGCCGAGCCGCAGGTGGGATATAGGGAGTCTGAAGTCTAATCTGATCTACGGGAGGGGGGTAAATCAGATATGTTGGAGCTTTCTCCTGAGCTCCCCTCAGTCCGCCTTGTCACGCCGCTGTCTCTCACGGCGACGGGACGGTTAGACTCCCACACACCTGCCGCGGAGATTAATTGGAGCTAGCACTTTAGTGGAGATGGCCTGTGCCTTTTAAATCAAGAACCTGAAGTCTATAAGCCTGCCAGAACCCAGCTTCTGGCCTGGGGATAAGGGCAGTCTTATCCAGGGGGTTGGATTGGAGTCTGATCCGGAGGAGGGGGGCATATCAGATATGTTGGAGCTTTCTCCTGACCTTGAACTCCCCTTGGTACGTCTCTCGCACGGCGATGGGACGGGCGGACTCCTACACGCTCGCNGCCTGGTCCGTGAACACGTAGAATCCCGGCCAATGACCCCAAGCTACCCATCCTTGTCGCTCGCACGTAATTATGTTGCTGTCGCGCTCGCACACTCACTGCGGGCGCGCGTCGCACAGTCGCGACAGCAATATAATTACGCGCGAGCGATAAGGATGGGTAGCTTGGGGTCATTGGACGGGATTCTACGTGCTCACGGACCAGGCTTTACACGCTCGCCGCCGAGCCGCAGGTGAGACACAGTCGAGTCAGGAGTCTGCTGAAGTCTAATCCGGGAGAAGGGAATAAATCAAATATGTTGGAGATTTCTTCTGACCTCGCCTTTTGTCACGCCGCTGTCTCTCACGGCGACGGGACTTGTAGACTCCTACACTAGGTTGGTTTAATTGCAGCGAGCTTTCTGGTGGAGACGGCCTGTGCCTTTTAAATCAAGAATCTCACACCTCAAGCCTGCCAGAACCCAGCTTCTGGACCAGGGAAAAGGTCAGTCTTATCCAGTGGGTTGGAGTCTAATCCGGGAGAAGGGAATAAATCAGATATGTTGGAGATTTCTTCTGACCTCGCCTTGTCACGCCGCTGTCTCTCTCTCTCCTACACTAGGTTGGCTTAATTGCAGCGAGCTTTCTGGTGGAGATGGCCTGTGCCTTTTAAATCAAGAACCTGAACAGGGGGGCATATCAGATTATGTTGGAACTTTCTCCTGACCTTGAACTCCCATTGGTACGCCTCTCGCACGGCGCTGCGCCGGGACTCCTACACGCTCGCCGCCGAGCCACAGGTGGGATATAGTCGAGTCGGGAGCCTGAAGTCTGATCCGAGGGAAAAGGCAATCTGATGCAAGAGACAGTGTGATCCAGGATTCTCCCCCTGATGCGGAAGGGGAGAATTTGATACGGGAGGGCAAATCAGATATGTAGGGACCTCCCCAAGGTACGCCATGTTACGACACCGCTGAGATACCGGCGAGACGCACGGCGACGGGACGGGTGGACTTCTACACACTTGCCGCGGAGCCGCAGGTAGGCTTAATTGCAGCGAGCTTTCTCGTGGAGATGGCCTGTGCCTTTTAAATCAAGAATCTCACACCTCAAGCCTGCCAGAACCCAGCTTCTGGACCGGGGAAAAGGGCAGTCTTATTCAAGGGGTTGGAGTCTGATCCGGGGGAGGGGGGCATATCAGATATGTTGGAGCTTTCTCCTGACCTTGAACTCCCCTTGGTACTCCTCTCGCACGGCGCTGCGCCGGGACTCCTACACGCTCGCCGCCGAGCCGCAGGTGGGACACAATCGAGTCGGGAGTCTGCTGAAGTCTGAACCGGGAGAAGGGAATAAATCAGATATGTTGGAGATTTCTTCTGACCTCGCCTTTTGTCACGCCGCTGTCTCTCACGGCGACGGGACGGGTGGTCTACACTCTTGCCGCGGAGCCGCAGGTGGGACACAGTCGAGTCGGGAGTCTGCTGAAGTCTGAACCGGTGGAGCAAATCAGATATGTTGGAGATTTCTTCTGACCTCGCCTTGTCACGCCGCTGTCTCTCACGGCGACGGGACTTGTAGACTCCTACACTAGGTGGGCTTAATTGCAGCGAGCTTTCTCGTTGAGACGGCCTGTGCCTTTTAAATCAAGAACCTGAAGTCTATAAGCCTGCCAGAACCCCGCTTCTGGCCGGGGAAAAGGGCAGTCTTATCCAGGGGATTAGATTGGAGTCTGATCCAGGGGAGGGGGGCACATCAGATATGTTGGAGCTTTCTCCTGACCTTGAACTCCCCTTGATACGCCTCTCGCACGGCGCTGCGCCGGGACTCCTACACGCTCGCCGCCGAGCCGCAGGTGGGACACAGGTCGCAGCGGGCTCCAGGCAGCCAGGCGTCCCGCGCCGCTGTCCCGCGCGGCGTGACGCGTCCAACCCGGCGCTCAGCCCCACCGCGCCCGCGCCGCCGCTGCGCCGGGACTCCTCGCGACTGTGCGACGCGCGCCCGCAGTGAGTGTGCGAGCGCGACAACAACATAATTACGTGCGAGCGACAAGGATGGGTAGCTTGGGGTCATTGGCCGGGATTCTACGTGCTCATGGACCAGGCTTTACACGCTCGCCGCCGAGCCGCAGGTTGGACACAGTCGAGTTAGGAGTCTGCTGAAGTCTGATCCGGGAGAAGGGAATAAATCAGATATGTTGGAGATTTCTTCTGACCTCGCCTTGTCACGCCGCTGTCTCTCAACGCGACGGGACTGGTAGACTCCTACACTAGGTTGGCTTAATTGCAGCGAGCTTTCTCGTGGAGACGGCCTGTGCCTTTTAAATCAAGAACCTGAAGTCTATAAGCCTGCCAGAACCTCGCTTCTGGCATGGGGAAAAGGGCAGTCTTATCTAGGGGGCTGGAGTCTGATCCGGGGGAGGGGGGCACATCAGATATGTAGGGGCTTTCTCCTGACCTTGACCTCCCCTTGGTACGCCTCTCGCACGGCGATGGGACGGGCGGACTCCTACACGCTCGCCGCCGAGCCGCAGGTGGGACACAGTCGGGTCGGGAGTCTGAAGTCTGATCCAAGGGAAAAGGCAATCTGATGCAAGAGACAGTGTGATCCAGGATTCTCCCCCTGATGCGGAAGGGGAGAATTTTATACGGGAGGGCAAATCAGATATTTAGGGACCTCCTCAAGGTACGCCATGTTACGACACCGCTGAGATACCGGCGAGACGCACGGCGACGGGACGGTTAGACTTCTACACGCTTGCCGCGGAGCAGCAGGTAGGCTTAATTGGAGCTAGCTCTATAGATGACATGGCCTAGGCCCTTTAAGTCAGAGAACCACACGCCGATAAGCCTGCCAGAACCCAGCTTCTGGCATAGGGAAAAGGGCAGTCTTATCCAGGGGGTTGGAGTCTGATTCGGGGGAGGGGGACATATCAGATAATAATATGTTGGAGCTTTCTCCTGACCTTGACTTCCCCTTGGTACACCTCTCGTACGGCGATGGGACGGGACTCCTAAACGCTCGCCGCCGAGCCACAGGTGGGACATAGTCGAGTCAGGAGTCTGCTGAAGTCTGAACCGGAAGAAGGGAATAAATCAGATATGTTGGAGATTTCTTCTGACCTCGCCTTTTGTCACGCCGCTGTCTCTCACGGCGACGGGACTTGTAGACTCCTACACTAGGTTGGTTTAAGCAAGCCTGCCAGAACCCAGCTTCTGGACCGGGGAAAAGGTCAGTCTTATCCAGGGGGTTGGATTGGAGTCTGATCCGGAGGAGGGGGGCATATCAGATATGTTGATTGTTGAACTCCCCATGCTACGCCTCTCGCACGGCGATGGGACGGGCGGATTCCTACACTCTCGCCGCCGAGCCGCAGGTGGGACACAGGGTCGTGTACGCTCGCAGCGGGATGGCTTGATGCACCGACGACCTTTAGGAAGTCAGAGAACTTTACGCCCATTTGCGTACCTAATTTCTGACTCTAGGGGATAGTCTGATCCGAAGGGGAGTGTTAGATTGATAGGGAGGGGATCAATCTAGTACGGGGAGGGGAGAAATCTGATACGGAGAGGGGAGAAAGCTAATCGGGGNCCTCAACTACAGAGGAATTAGCCGTCCTACCTCCAATTGAAAAACACTTGTTATGGCGACAGAATAAGGTAAGATCCAAATGGAGCAGAAAGTTTTTCCCCCACTGGGAACAAAGATTGTGATAATGACTGGAAGCATCTGGATAAATTTTTATTATAACTGAGATAGAAGCTATTTGTAAAGAAAATTAACCACAATCTGTGCAGTGTAATGCGTTTAAAACCTCAATCTTAAACACATTTTAAATAATTCCAGAAAGAAGAAGAGAAGACAGCGCCCAAAGTACCGCCCACGCCCGCGCTCGTGCGGCAAGGGACTGAGACGCTGCGCCGGGAGCGGCCCCAAAGCCAGCTGGTGGCGCCCAGAGATGTGAGTATTTGGAATAAATACGCTATGAAATGGAAATAGAGTTCTTTGTACGGTAAATCCGGAGAAGAAATGGGCTTGCCTGAGTATAGATCGTTTCATCCACGAAGACACGCCCCACTATTTTTCCACTTATGTTTGAGTGTTATCAGTACACGCTAAATTATCCATGAGTGTGCACTGTGCACGCACACTACAATAATGACGCTCGGATTGCTCGGATCAAACCTCCGCACTCCGATGAAACGATCTATACTTGTGATTGTGCTATGGTGTTGGTTATATCAAACTAAAACATTTGTGCTGTATCAGTAACATTCATGGTCCTATATTTAATTCATTGTCTATAATTAACTTTGTGTTTTAACCAGAACCATTTTTGTAATAACATTTGTGTCTCAGCTTGCGCAGTGTATACCAAATCTGAATCGTCAACGGAATAATATTTTCCATCGTTTTTAGGGTTCCGTACCTCATAAGGAAAAAACGGAACCCTTATAGGATCACTTTGTTGTCCGTCCGTCCGTCTGTCAAGACCCTTTATCTCAAGAACGCGTGAACGTATCAAGCTGAAATTCACATGAAATACTCAGGTCTATTGTCCCTTTAAGCTGTGAAAATATCAAACTTCTAAGCCAAGCCAATCAAAAGATACAGCCGATTATGTCGATATTTTCAACAAATTTTCGACACTCGCAAAGGAATCAAAACCTACAGGATACTTCCCGTAAACTCAGAATCTTGAAATTTGGCATAAAGCATTGTCATATAATGCAAATATAGGAAAAATTGCGAAAATTACATTTTTTTAGTTATATAATATAATAAAAATATTTTAATAAAATGAAACTTACTACCTTATTTCTCACGAACGAATAAAGGTATCAAATTGAAATTTATACCAAATACCTAGATCTATTGTCCCTTTAAGAAGTAAAAAAATCAAACTTCTAAGTTAACGCGATCAAAAGATACAGCAGTTTATACCGACACCTTAGACGAATTTCCGTCACACGCTAGGGAATCAAAACCTACAAGGTACTTCCTGTGAACTCAGAATCTTGAAATTCGGCACGAAGCAACGTTATATAGTACAGATAAAGGAAAAATTGCGAAAATGATAAATTTGAAGTTATATAAAATTTAAAATATTATTTTTGCTTACATGACATAAAATATTTTTTTAATAATTATAAACTTACTACCTACCCTTTTTCACATGAACGCGTAGAGATATTAAAGTTGAAATTCATATCAAACACTTCTTAAATCTAATTGCCTCTAAACTGTGAGAAATTCTAAATCAACGCAAAAATTCAAAACGCTGAGGTAGGTACCTACCTATAATGCAAATATAGGAAAAATAAATAAATAAAGAATAAACATACCGCATATTTTGAAATTCGCCACTACTCGCAACGGAATCAAGTAAGTAATTTGATTTAATACGTCATAAATTGTAAACCGCTACGTTTGTACGGCGGAACCCTCGGTGTGCGAGCCCGACTCGCACTTGGCCGGTTTTTTATTGATAACAAACCGCTAATAGCTAATTTGAGTTACTTTACTGTTACAATATTTAGCTATTCATCTTCCCGTTAAAATAAAATAAGCCTGCCTCTAACTAAAGTGGCGTAACTTGTCAAAGCAATCCTGGCTCATAGATTTTAATATTTAGGGGTGAATTCGTGCCTAATTCATGCCATACGTCCAATATTATGCTATAATCTTATGGTAAATATACATGTCTTTCCGACCAAATGTTAGGTGTTTGAGAGAATCAAAGATATTTTTTTAAAGTCAGGCAATAAACTCTTCTGCTCGGATGTCTCGCCATCAATTTTCCATTCAATGCATTTTCAAGCCTTCTTCTCGAATATCTCACCATCAATCTTCCATTCGATTCTGCCCCCTCCCCCATAAACAATAGCGGTTACTTTGGTATACGCTGCGCGCGCGTCATAACCATGTGTTGCGACAGCTTCGAGGCGCGGCGGGCAGCGGCGTGCCGGTGTCGATGCGAAGCCACCACATACCCGTGAGTGTCCGTGTTAACAATGCACAGTCAGCGTCGAATAGTTCGTGACACCCGAAGTAGCCAAAAAGTTCTTAACACGTCTTCCTAAAAAAACTTTTAGTCCGTTAATTTTTTTTTGTCGGCCGTTTGGTGTAGTGTTTCAGAACGGACTACTATGCCGAGAGGTCCCGGGTTCGATTCCCAGTCGGGCAGAAATTGAAATGATGAATTTCAATTTCTGTGACGGGTCTGGGTGTTTTCTATGTATAATATGGTATGCATTTACAAAAAAAGTATTTAAGTATGTTTATATCCGTTGTCTAGTACCCATAGTACAAGCTTTGCTTAGTTTGGGACTAGCGACGCAGTGTAAAATGTTTAAAGATATTTATTTAATTATATTATCAATAAATATTGTCATGTATATTTTTATTTGTCAATCAAACTAGTAATTACGAAGTTATGGCGCGTTGAAGTTCCATGTGACGTCAAAAAGTGCTACTCTTTTAAGCACTCCTTGACGTCACGTGCCTCTTCTTTTTAATTTTGGCGCGCTTTATCTCTTTAAATCATTAGTTTGAAAAAATTAAAAATAAGGGTCGAGTATTTTTTGATAAGTTAACTGACGGATTCAAACTCCTAATTTTTTATCCAGGAAACATCCCTATTGGAATAAGGTTGTGTTGTCAACTTTTTGGCCGCTTTGAGTGTTACGAACTATTTGACGCTGACTATACCTGTAATTGGGGTCCGATTCTCCTAATAACCTTAGCCGTATCAGTACCGTAAAAGTTAAAAATGTGCACCATTAAGTATTTGTTACATAGCGCGACAAGATTGATTTTAAACATTTTTATTACGAGAATTGGTGAGAAGTAGAGTACCTAGTTGTTGATTTAGGTTTACATAGTAATCGTTTTCGTGATAGCAACATTTATCTCTAATACACTTTTTAAACATCACAATTACATATTTTGTTTGTATATTTAAATGGAACATTACTCGTACATGCTGAATACATAAAAATAATCCTTTTCATTTATTATGTATCTTCCATCCAGTCCATGTTAACTGAATAATATTACATGTGCATGCTTATATGTTTCAAATAATATGGGGGTTTTCATAAATATGCAATATTGGTCTTTATATTCTTTAATTTACTGTTGTATTGTAGCCACCAACGACACGACCGTACTCGATAGCGGGGGCGTCACAACTCCGCGTCTCAAGGCCGACGTCTGTTCCTTTACAAAAACCAGCTCCAGGTTGGTACACTATAATAATAATGAGGGCTATCGTTTTTATACTTAACAGTTGGCACCCCTGGCGATTGACAGGACCTTACTCTACAGTGGCGCTGAACGAAATACGTCACCGACACTACGAGAGATTATTTGATTGAAAGGCTTTGTGGTGTAAAAATAAAATTATATTGTAAAAATAAAATCAAGTTACATGTTTAGTTCGAAGTAGAAAAGTCAAGAGAAGAGAAACAAGTGACAATCGATAAAAAACATAAAAAGTAAAAAGAAGTTTCTCGCCGGCCAGGCGCGCGGCCAAGGAGTTTGGTCACACATTTGCGACCTCTACCATTTTTTCCTAGGCCGTCATTAGACAGACCTGTACAGGCGCCATCTTTATGAGTGCAAATGCGATAGTCCTCCTACCACTTTAGCGCTCACAAGTTGGCGCCACTGTCTTCGCTACTAGCAAGTGACAGGACCTTACTCTACAGTGGCGCTAACTGGTGAGCGCTAAAACGATAGCCCTCATTATAAACATCATCATAGTCATTTACAGGCAGGAAGACTAAGGGGCCCAGAACAGACGGTGAAAGTTTCAAATTTTCAAACTGGTCGCGTCATGTGTGGTCTCAACGGACGCTATGGCAGAAACTTAGATGCAACTCAAAAGTAACTAGCAGTTGCAGTTTCCTTGCAGTTGCGTTTCACCGTCTGTTCTGGGCCTAAGAGAAATCTAGACTGCTTCTAACTTAACATCAGGTGCGATTGCAGTCCAATACCTGCGTTGTTTTTTAATGCAGAACAACGCAGGTAATGGACTGCAATACCTGCGTTGTTCTGCATTAAAAAAAATACCTCCAAGTCATTTAATTTTCACTGCAGGAGGAAAACCGTCGAGTTCACAGAAGCAGTTCCTTAGTCTATTTATGACATCCACGGGAAGAGGGCTCTATTCTATTCTGTCTAAACCACGCGGTGTTGTTATGAAAGACGGCTAAGGGAGAAACCAACATCGAATGTTAACCTTATACTAATAGCATTAAAGTTCATAATCCATTTAATGTTCCAGTGCCAGTAGTGACGACGGAACAACCGCGGCCGGCGTCAAGCTCAGAAGCGCGAGTTTCTGCGTTGCCGAGGCCTTCGCGACTGCCTGCGCCACGCCGCGCGCTAAGGTAATGTGGTTCTTGTGTAAAGCCCGGTCTGTGAGCACGTAGAATTTTGTCCAATGACCCCCAGCTGCCCATCCTTATCGCTCGCGCGTAATTATATTGCTGTCGCGACTGTGCGACGGGCGCCCGCAGTGAGTGTGCGAGCGCGATAGCAACATAATTACGCGCGAGCGATAAGGATGGGTAGCTTGGGGTCATTGGACAAAATTCTACGTGCTCACAGACCAGACTATAGTTGTGATAAGTTTTATATTGGAACAAAGCTGTAGTCTGAGGCCGGCGTCGAGCTCAGAAGCGCGCGTGTCTGCGCCCCGCCGCGCGCTAAGGTAATGTGGCTCTTATGGTATTGTGATAGGTACTATATTGGAACAAAGTTGTAGTCTGCGGCCGGCGTCAAGCTCAGAAGCGCGAGTCTGCGCCCCGCCGCGCGCTAAGGTAATGTGGTCCTTATGCTATTGTGATAAGTACTATATTGGAACAAAGTTGTAGTCTGCAGCCGCGTCGAGCTCAGAAGCACGAGTCTCTGCGCTAAGGTAATGTGGGTCTTGTGGTATTGTGATAGGTGTTATATTGGAACAAAGCTGTAGTCTGCGGCCGGCGTCGAGCAAGTTAGCGCGCGTGTCTGCGTTGCCCAATTCGCACTAAGGTAATATGGTTCTTGTGCAGTTGTAATAGGTGCTATATTGGAACAAAGTTGTAGTCTGCGGCCGCCGTCGAGTAAGGAAGCGCGCGTGTCTGCGCCCCGCCTCGCGCTAAGGTAATGTGGTTCTTATGTAGTTGTGATAAGTGCTATATTGGTACGAAGTTGGTCTGCGGCCGGCGTCGAGCACGGAAGCGCGACGGTCTGCGCCCCGCCGCGCGCTAAGGTAATGTGGGTCTTGTGGTATTGTGATAAGTGCTATATTGGAACAAAGTAGTCTGATAGAAAGTTGACACTATACGTGTACTTATGTCAATGTAACACTCGCCTGTATTCAAAAACGATACTTTCTTAAATGAAGCAGCAAATCGAACGCACAGCGTTGATTAGAGCTCTGTGATTGGTTCATGAGTGACCTTGTGCGTCCACGCGCACTGTGAGGCCTCATAGTAATGTTTGTGAATACGGGCGACTGTCCATGTGTAAGAGTCCTCTATCGTGTGGATTTCATTACTCAGGCCAGGAGCCGACTGAAAAGTGCCAGTAAGGCCGGTTTCTACTAAATCAGAAAGGAAAGGAAACGAGATGTGTTTGGAATCATCACATTTCAGATTTCGTTATTTCCATATCTAGAGAAAGGAGGTTCAGGATCAGAAACCTGAGGTGGAATTGTGTATAGCAATCGTAATCATTTGACAGTTCATAATGTACGATTAATCTGTCAAACGCTTTGTTTAACTGACTTTATCGTACGTTATGAACTGTCAAAATGAATGATTACGATTGCTTTACCAATTCCACCTCTGATTGGTTACAAAACACATCTCTCCTCTCCGCTTTAATGGAAACTGAGCTTTACCAAACACCAAATAATATTTCTTTCCGACTACTCAAGGGACATTAAACATGTTTTATTTCCCCCAGGCCCCCATCGGTGTATTCCGTCGCGCCGACGGACGCGGAGCAATACTGACCCGCGTGTTGCGGGCTCTGGCCGCGCTCACCTCACGACTGATCAGAGTAACGCTGTCTTCGCAGCCATTTGGCGCCTGCGGACTTTTTAGGCTAAAAACTCACGCGGATTATCAGCTCGCGGTTGTGGAATGAGGGTTTTCGCGAATGAAAAATCCGCCAGATGGCAATACGTAGACGCGAGGTCCAAATGCTGCATGATTGGTTATTTTTGACATGACATTGACAGATATGTCAAAATCCACCAATCACGCAGCAGTCAGACCCCACATCCACGTCCCGCCATCTAGCGGATCTTTCATTCGCGAAAACCCTCATTGCGGTTTCATTTCAAAACTCACGGGACCGGTTAGTTGCGCGGTTATGCAGCCGCCGATCATCGCCCGCAAACGTGGCGGGCGGTTGCAAGACGGGTAGTTAAGTCACTGGTACAAAATGATCGCCCGCCAATCGATCGCAGAGCGTGCGGGCGCAAACCGCAGAGACTACTAGTTGCCCGCCGGTACCAAATACAAACTCAAATAGTACCGATACAAACCGCGTCGTGAGTTGTGCATTAATTTTTACATAAGTATGTGCATTCTACAGAAGCTGCGGGCCCGCAACCGCCGCGGGCGCGGGTGAAAATCGCGCCGTGAGTTCTTAGCCTTACAGCTCAACGAAATCCGCACGCCACAGAAACAAGGCTGCACCAACTACTACTACCCTATTTATTAATTATCAAGCTTTTTTTACTAAATTTCATCAACTGTACATTCTCATCGCTAACTTTTATCGACATTTACTCATCGACGGCGTCGGTAGATTAGTTAAAATTTAACGTCGTTCGGTGTTGCTATATGAAAAAATATTTTAACTAAACGACCGATCGCCGTGTTACGTTTTAGAAATCTTTTAATATGACCAATTAATTAATTAAAAGCAATTTTTGGAGATAGTTATTGTCATTGTAAAAATTACGGTATTGTTTGTTGACAATAATTTGTACGAGGGAGAAAAACAGCGATTACCAGTTTTGGAGTGTCAAATTGAATTTAAAAATTATGACTGTCCTATTCATATACGTTGTTTGTTGACATTTTTTTATATTTGTGTTTTTTCATTCGTAATTTTGGTCTCGGCATACAAAATTTTTCCTGTAAAAGTTTTGCTCATGTCCTTGATGTGAGGTGAGAAATTCGCTTTTCGTTTCTCTGAAAAGTCGTAACATTTCTACCTCGAGGGTGTGCTCCTCGCAAGAGGGAACGAGAAAACTTTTAAATATTATCACTTCGACGACGACGATTTGTATTTTAAGGTTGATGACCGTGTATCGAATACAGTTGACTGCACGGGGAAGTAAAATTTCGACAATGTCGGACTCTATTACAAGGGAGTAAGCTTCCAAATGTAACAGAAGTGTTAAGGAATCCTGTGCATCGACTGTATGTGAATCGCGTCAGTTCTCGACTCCCTGGGGCGCGCCGTGAAGTCTGTTCGGTAAAGCTCTCTCGTTTGTTCTCGTTGACGAAGCTCAAAATTACAAAATTTCTGCCTAAATCATGATTTGGTACAAAGACATACAAATAAGATATTATTCCTATATTATTAACAAATGTAGTATTTTAGTATATTATGAGTCGTTAACTTGGGGCTTAGTAATTTATTTCAGATTAAGATTTTTGCATTTTGTTTAGAGTTTGTAATCTTATAGGAAAATTGTAATTTTACTGTACTCTTGCTTTGGATGTAAAACTTTAAATACTCTATTGTAACATAACAAATATTGAAGTATACGCACAGCACTCGCATCCATTATGCTGCAGGAATAACAAACTTTGCAGGTTTACACCATCTCTATCACAAACGATATGACAGTAAGCGCACATGTATATTGTTAAAATAACTCTTCTTGTACATTTTGTAAATTTTACCATTGCTTTATACATTAATACATGTCTATTTAACCTTGTATTACTGATATTTTCTCATCAACTAGGTAACATATCGAAATGAATAATAGACTTTGTTAAATTGCTATTAAATGACTTTTAATGATGCTATTAGAAAATGTTAACCGTCATATTTTTACACGTTGTTCTTGTTTGAAGTTTATATTGTTTGGTATAAAATTCGTTATTAGCACATCGATTCGCGTACCGGCAACTAAAGTATTAGACAGAGCAATATATTCGTTACCTACCAGCACGTTCGTTTTACAGCAAAATGTATATTTTGTAAACTGAGTATTTATGTACAGGGACTGATTTTAGTATGTACCGTTTTGTAATATGAATTGTTTCCCGCTACTGTATCGTTCGCCGTGCTGTGAGAGACTGGTGCGCGCTACGCGGTTTATTTGGACACGTCGTGCCTTATTTAGGTAGTGTAAGGAATTTTGTTTTCATTTTCTAATAAAACTATGTATTTACAAGTCTGTTGTTTTATTTTCTTTTATTTAGTTTAAAATGTGTAGCTATCTATCCGGTCGGAGCCTAAAGACGAAGAACAGAACAGACTGGTCTGTTTCTATCTAGACGCTTCTCTCAAATTAAAAGCTCGTCCATCCGTAGAATTTTAAAAATTAGGCACAAAGAGATTCGCGCGTGAACGAACTAAAGTCGCTGTCATAGCCCGACGGATTAGCAAGCTGAAGTGGCAATGGGCAGGGCAGATAGTACGCAGAACCAGAACTAACACGCGATGTTCAGCAGTAGACGTCCTATGGCTGAGAGGATGACGAGTTATTCGCTATATTTTTTCTAGTTGTAACATTTAGGTATTTACAAATCTTTAAAAGTATGCGATATCTTCCTATTTCTAGTTAGCATTTGCTCATTATCCTATGTTACTATTTACCTCTCACTGTATAGCCAGGCACCTTTTGAGTTAGTGCGCAATATTTTTTTCATATGGTCATGGCCACTCATTTATTGAAACAGGAGTATATCCTCTAAAATACTTTCTACTCTATGGGTGCCAATAAACTTAAAAACCTGATGCTCAAGTCCGTGAAACATGAGACAGTGAATTTAAAAAGTTGTGATGACATTCTAACTCCCAGTGTTACCAGAAGAAATAAATAATTGCATCATTTTTATTTGCAAAAACTGTTTCAAATGTACTAAATAAATTAGTTTCAATTAAATGCGGCTATGACAAATTAATTTTGCATCGATACAATGCAAGATAAACAAATAATTAAGATTTTTTGAAGATTTTACTAACTAACGACACAACACAAGCTTCGAACTGTCAACTCGTTTAACTACATGTGTGTGTGTGAGTAAAACACGAAATCGCACGTTACGTGAGTGTGCGACGTCGTGAATGCTGACTACGAGTGAATTTTGCTTTGTACGTTTTTATTTTTGTAATTAAAACTGTTGTAGACATTGTGTTTAGTAATGTAGATACCTCAAGTGATAACAATTGTGATATATGGAACGTTATGGCCCTCAAAGTACGCAGTGTTTTCGTCTTCTATGTGATCCCGTGCAATAACTCGTCACTTGGGTTGTTTGTCAATGACGTCTGCGTTTAGCGCAGCAAAAAGTGGATTTTTAGTTTAATTGTGACAAATAGTGTGACCAAAAATAGCAAAACTAGTGCAAATTGACAAGTGTTTATAAAATGGATAAGTGTTTTCTTCATTGGAACCTTCTTACACCAACTGGGGCCATCAGAGGTGGCTCATGAAGAAAGGGTTAGTTTACCTGTTTGTGTTTACTTCGTATATTTCATGTACCTATGCTTATATGTGTAGCAACTATTTTTATCTAATTACGGCATCGTTGCTGAAGATATTCATAACATTACATAGGTGTATAGGTTATAAGTTCTGCCATAGTAGTTGTTTATTGAGTCATACCATCTAAAATATGTGTTGGGATTGAGTAACAGGATTATTGAGTTGTGTAGGCAGTTCCTCATGAGGCGGATGTAGTGGATTCTCTGATTAGGGCTAAGATATGTTATTTTCTTTTGTTACTTTCTCTTAGCCAAGGAGTGAAGGGAGTGAAAAGGATAGATGATGGAGATTGTCGGTAAGAGCGAGCGAGAGAGCGCGCTACAAGGCGAGGTGGCCGTGTTTTTGGTGTCCACAGTCCACATATGACAAATGCCTTACTTTCCTATATTAAATAGAGGAATATTATTACCATATTTAATTATTTCACTAACAGATTAATACACAAATTCGTCGTAAAATTACTTATTGCTGTGAGCATTCTTTTTCAAATACAGTTGTCCTAGATTGAGAATCTATTGAATACATAGTCAGTGGGTTCACTCCCAATGCTCAGGAAGGCATAAAATTATATTTTATAATGACATAATGCCAGTTACTGGTTAATAAAACTAAAAATAAACTAGCAGTTACTGTTTTCCTTTAAGTGCAATAAAAATACAAAATATGATTGCAGAAATGTAATTTAACATAATATTATGTTCAATCAATTATTTTAAGTTGAGAAATATACTATGTTACATAATAGGTACTGGAGTATATTGAGCTTAATTGTTTCAACATTATTAACCTTTAACTATGGACTTGAAAAAATAATCACACTCCCATGGACGTCGGGACTCACAGACCCCTATCTAACATTCTTCTTATTTTCATATCTGAATCAATTTGAATTTATTAAAGAGTTGATATATATCTAATAACTATTAATAAAGGATTTAGTAGTAAATGTAATCAAATTTTAACCATCATTTAATTATTTTTTTGCAAATTTAAAAAACTTAGACATTTTTCAGTGTAAATTGACTTGCCATCACATAGGCTCCTTGATTACAGTCGATCATTAATAAATGAAAGTAATATTGTTTTCTTTGCTAATTAATAACCATGTAACATAAAAACATGAACAGAATTTCTGAAGGACATAAAATAAAAATTTTGACCAGGGTTAAAGTTACTAAAATTATACACAGTGGCCTAGAACACTAAAGACAAGTTATTTCTACATGCATGTGTTATCTTTCTTTGAGACCTTTAGTAGGCAAAATGTACACCATTCAGAATCGGAATCTGCTGCAATGGTGAATTCTAAGACATCTAAACTTAAATTCTCTGTTTTGTTTAATTTTCTGGTTAGCTGGAAGAGAATGCCACATGGCATTAAGCTCGCCTGTTGTACCACTGTATTTTTATGTGTGCAATAAAGATTTTAAATAAATAAATAAATAAAC